AATCCTGGACTCCTAATTTATCCCTCCCCCTAATCCTTTCCCTTTTGGTAACCATAAGTTTATTTTCTATGTAAGTCCATTTCTGTTTTGGACATAGATTCATTTGTATTATTTTTTTAGATTTCACATATAAATGTGAAATTGTCTTTTTTCTGTCTGCCTTACTTCATTTAGTATGATATCTTTAGGTCCACTCTTGTTGCTGCAAATGGAAATATTTCATTCTTTTTTATGACTGAGTAGCAGTCCATCTTTTTTTCCCCACAAAAAAGCCCTCTTGTTTATTTGATTAAGCAAAAAGAAAATAAGTTGCATGCGAACTATTTTAAAATCATAAAGACACCAACATTATTTTAGTCTGCAGTAGCTGATACAGTATCCCTTTAATACCTTGCCTAGCTTCCTCTGTGAACCACAGTGATATATTCAGAAGCCTGTTAGCTAATAAGGGGTTCTTAGATACTTTTCCATTGGTTCTTCACCTGTTCATTGACTGTCACACCTGAGGCCTGGAATATCATTTAAAATTTACAATGAAAAGTCCAGAGGTGGGGAGGTCATCTTAAATCAGTAGCCTGTTGATGGACGCTTGGGTGGTTTTCATATCTTGACTGTTGTAGATAGTACTACTGTGAACATTGAAGGACATGTATCTTTCTGAACTAGAATTGTCACCTTTTGGGGGATATGTGCCCAGGAGTGGGATTGCTGGATCATGTAGTAACTTTTTATTTTTTTAAGGACCCCCACCCCATACTATTTTTCTGTAGTGGCTGAATCAGTTTACATCCCTACCAACAGTGTAGGAGGGGACCCTTTTCACCATACCCTCTCCAGCATTTATTATTTGTAGACATTTTGATGATGACCATTCTGACCAGTGTGAGGTGATACCTCATTGTGATTTTGATTAAGAAGTAGAATGGTTTTAATCATTAAGAGCATATGGTGGAAGGGCAAACTAGAGAAGGCCAGCTGTTTCTTAAAATACTTTGCTGAGAAGGATCACATGTGACATCAGTTCACATTCCATGAGGTCATGCCTCAATGCCAGGCATGCTGGGAAATGTGATCTCTGCTGGACAGCTACCTTTTTTTTTTTTTTTTAACCTTCAAATCCCCGTTACAGAAGATGGAATAAAATTTTGGGTGGACAGCTAGCTACCTCTGCCATAGTGTCTGGGAAAGACTCTATGACTGAGTTAGAGAAACCTCAGAATCTGAATGCAGAGTTCCAAGGACTACTGGGGATTATGTCCCCTTTTCTCTGACTGTCAAAGGCGTTGTTGTTCAGTCGCTCAGTTGTGTCTGACTCTTTGCTACCCCATGGACTGCAGCATGCCAGGTTTCTTTGTCCTTCACCATCTCCCAGAGCTTGCTCAAATAAAGGCGTATCAGCAAGCTTACCCAACTTTTGCCTTAATAACAAACAATCCCAAATTTGTAGTGGCTTAATTCCTTCTCCCCTTTCTCTCTTCTTCCCCCTTCTTCTCCCTGCCTCCTTTACCCTCCTACCCCCTCCCTCTTCTTCCTCTTCTTCTTTTCCTTCCTCTTTCCCCTCCTTTCCCTCCTCCTCTTCCTTTGGCCCCAAGGGAGGGTAGAAAAAGGATTGCAAGGGTAACCAATTTTAGAAGAACAAATTGGAGTTGTCTGGAGAGAAAAAGATGACAAGTAGTGAGATCCACATCCAAAGGTATTCAAACACAGGGAGGCTGAAGGAAATTCGTCTGGCTTTATGAGCATGCTGAGAAATAGCTCTGCTGCTTGGAATCTCCCAGGGATTGGTCTATTGATCAATATTTTGGAATTCTTGTGAGACAGAACCTCACAGAACTGTCAAAGATTGTGTGGGAGAGAGGGATTGGTATAAGGTGCCAATTGCACTCCACCAGATAAGTCTTTGTCAGAGCTCAATCTGCTTGTGAATTTGTCTGGAATCCATTCCCAGCAGCACCATCTGTTCGTGATTGTCCTACCATCTGACCATTTACCCTCTGTCAAGCCCCCTCCCCTGGGCACTCCCACCGCCAGTTAGAGCCCACCCATTGTTCAACCTGGATAGACTGAGTCTGAGGAGAGACCGGGCAGCACAGAGCGGGAGAGGGGGAGACCTTCCAACGCGCTGGTGCTCAGGGCCAGGATGTGCCTGGGAGCGCCCACCACGTCTGCATACAGAACTTGGGGGAGAGCGTGTGGCTGAGCCAGAGCCATATTGTGCCCCAGGTGGGCTGATGGCTCCACAAATAATATTGATGCCTTTTGTTTGGAAACTCTTTGTAGAGGCTTCCCATGTCCCAATGAGCCATGCTAAATGCTGGGCCTCCCCCAAGCTGCTCTGCCTTTTACACAGCCCCCTGGCCAACTGTGCAGGCAGATGAGGGGCCCTGAATGCTAATGAGGGGAACGGCTGGCATGCCAGAGGCACCGGCTTGGGAACACCGCCCCCGCCCAACCTTTGTTGCTAAGGAGCCTTGGAAATGGAGTTGAAAGGCTCTTATGAGAGGGGGATGGGGAGAAAATGGGGAGCAGAAAGGCAAGCATTTTTTTTTCCGAGTCACACAGTTCTCCAGTCAGCTCCAAAGCTGTCCAGTTTCTGGTCTCAATTAGAATATCAAACCCTGTTATTGTTTCTCTTAATGATCTTGGAAAATTCCTCTGAAGAGTCAGTGAACACGTAACAGATTCTTTGGATGGCATGATATGCCCAGCTGTGCTTCTGCTTGTGTGAACCTGTCATGCCCAGAGTCCTGGAAACACCCTTTATTCCTGTCCCAGAAGGTGGTGATGAGCTGGGGGAACTAGAAGAGGGCAAAAGGCTGCTGGGTTTTCCAGATGCTCATGTGGAGGTGCCATTCCATCCCAAGTGGCTCCGTCGTAAAGAATCTGCCTGCCATTGTGGGAGATATGGGTTTGATCCCTGGGTCAGGAAGATCACCTGGAGAAGTATACGGCAACCTACTCCAGTATTCTTGCTTGGGGAATCCCATGGATAGAGGAGCCTGGTAGGCTACAGTCCATGAGGTTGTAGAAAGTTGAATATGAATGAATGACTGAGCATGCATGCATGCCATTCTCCAGATGTGTTCCAGGTGCTGCTCTGTGCTGGAGACAAAGGCCAGGAAGACCTTGGCTCTAGCTTGGCATGTCTGCTAGACTTTCTGGGGAGCCAGGCCACTCACACTAAAGGGAATTCTGTGGGTTTGCTCTGTGACCTGTGGGGCACTGTTGGCCTTGAAGTTATGTTTTGCGTTCTGGCCCTGACTCAGTCACTCACTAGCTTTTAGTCTTTAGGTAGGTCCTCAGTGTCTCATCTGTACAATAGGCATAGGAATGTCAACCTGGTTGGGTTACAGTGAGGAGTAAGGACAGATGAGAGAACGAAGAATAGAAAGTTGCAGGATATGGTCTCTCTTCTCTGGGACCACACAATCAGTGAGCCAAATGTTGACTTATCAGGTGTTAGTATTTGGAAAGGGCACATCATGGCATGGCCCACTGAATGGAGTAAAAGGGAACACTGTTTAAGAATAAAATAGAAAGCTGGTTCCCCATTATTGAGCACATCTGTGTGCCAAGTATATTGTCAGGCAATGTGCACATTCTATCCGATTCAATATGAATGGGGCCCTAGTGGATTGCTGAAGGTCACACATCTGGGAAAGTTTTCCCAGACAGTGAGATCCAGCCTCTCTTATGTCTTCAGTGCTCCTTCCATGTGTAGAGGCTGAGGTTTTTGGACAGTCAGGGCACGTGCAGTTGACACCAAGTCTCTCTGGGGTATCCTGGAGGTTAACCTATCCACCGCACACAGACATCCAGAAAGATCCTGCTAGAGAAAGTGGTCAAGATCACAGACACCAGACTCCCTCTGTATGTGTGCTGATTCTTCAGTTGTGTCCGACTCTTTGCGACCCCGTGGACTCTAGTCTGCCAGGCTCCTCTGTCCATGGGATTTCCCAGGCAAGAATACTGGAGCGGGTTGTGATGCCCTCCTCCAGGGATCAAACTGGTGTCTCTTATTTCTCTTGTATTGGCAGGTGGGTTCTTTACCACTAGTGCCACTTGGGAAGCCCAGATTCCCAAGTTTATTAGAAGTTTATTTTTTATAAACTTTTTTTATAAGTTTATTAGAAGTTCACAATGACATAGTCACAGGGTGTATATGAAATACCTCTGACCTGAGAAAGAAAAGAAGAGAGAAGGGTAACAGATTTTCCGTAAGCAAACCATGGAGAAGTCCTAGCATAGAGGTCATTAAAAATATTCCGAAGCATAATGACCTCATGGCATTTTGCTGTTTGTGTCCAGTGTGGTTTGCTCCACAGCCTGGCCTCATTTAACCTCTGCCATCACTTAGTCACCTGGATATCTAAGCTGTTTCTGTGACTTAGGTTGAATTTCTGTTTTCTAATGCTTACTCAGAGAAAATCTAATGAGTATTCACTTTTGCAAGTGCCAGTCTTGTAAATATCACCCCCGACACACACCTATCACACATACCCAGGGGCAGAGCAGTGGAGAATTCCAGTCAGGAAATGACCCAAGAGCAGTTGGCACTGGGCTCTGGAGGGCAGATGCATCTTAAAATTTGTTTGTGATGTAGCCGTAGCCTTCCTGCTCTGTGTCACTTCACACAGACTATTCTTCAAACTTCCTGAGGGTCAGCAGCTAAGGGGAGAGACTTAAGAAAGTTCCATCTCTACTACATGTCCAAATGGCATGGCTTTCAGCATTTAAAAAACTTCCCCCCAAAATACAATTATTGCCATTTTACACATGAAGGAACTGAAGCTCAGGGAGATTTTAGCATTTGCCAAGACTGCCACCTACTAAGTGCCAGAGCGGGATTTAGCTGGGTTTTTTTTTTTTTTTGTATAGTTCTTTTTTTTTCTTTTTTTTCATTTATTTTTATTAGTTGGACGCTAATTACTTTCTTTCCTGGGAAATACCATGGACAGAGGGGCCTGATGGGCTACAGTCCATTGGGTCACAGAGTCAGACAGGACTTAGTGATGAAACAACAACAGAGGTCTTCGATTTATTTTTTCCCTTGACCTAACTCCTTCATTCCATCTCCCACACACAGAGATTTGAAAATCAGGATCCAGGTCCCTCAGCATTAATAACAGTACTAGGAATACTTCTTTCTCTGAAGTCCTAGATTTCCTTCAATGGACTCATGCCGCCTGTGTGTGCGATGTGACTGTAAATGTGTATTATGCATGGGGTGCAAACTGGGGGAGGGGGAGAACTATGGGAACGAGTGGAAAGTTTTGCTTGATTTTGCTACCAGAGGAAACAAAGAAGTTACCTATTTCCAGAATCCTTTGTCCCAGAAGTCCCTCCTAAAAACTTGTATCCACTACTCTGCAAAAATATCCCTGGAGACAGTGTAACGCGGTCTAGTTTTGTACTAGAGAAAATATTAGACTTGTTCAGAAAACCTCACTTGAAATTCTGCTTCTGTTGCTTAGTATTAAGACAATTCATTGTTAATACTTTTATTTTTCTTATAATGTGGAAATCCTAGAATAGTGACTAGAGGGAAGATTGACTTATTCATCCAACAAAGACATATTCAGGTCTCTTATGTGACAGGCATTTTTGGAAGTTGACAACATCTAGCATGTTTTTTACTATATGGAATTGCAGAGTTAGCAAAGACACTATTTGATCAGCAATATAGAAAAAAAAATCTTTGAATATTCATCATCAGCTTTATAAGATTAGAAGAGGATTTTAAGAAATTGGGCTTTTGCCACCTCAGAAGAGAAAAACCTGGTTTTCTCAGATCACTTGGAGCTGCTTATGAGCAAGCATCCTAGCCAGAAATCAAGTCCAAGTTCAAAGTGTCTACAATAGCTGCGCCGGCCTCAATTCTGACAGTGCCTCCACCACTGCACTCGGGCTGTGGAGAAACACGTGTCTGGGTAAAAAGGGAGATAAAGGGAACATCTGTTCTCACAATATGGGCTTGTTATCATAGCTCCTTTAAGTACCGAAGCGCTGGCTCCAAAAGCATATTTTCTCCAGCACGGAAACTCCGCAAGGCTTGGTCAATTTTCCGAGGGCTCAGGGACAGGTTGTAAATGAGATTGTAGTTGTGAATGAGGCGTCTGGCTCGTTCCTTCTCTAGGACTCCTATCATTAGGTCGGGTGAGTGAGAGGTTTTTAAAAGAGAATGGAGAAAACACAAAAGAGGAAAATGCATTAGTTTGAATGACTTCTAAGCAAAAATTAAATGCTAATATTTTAAAACTTTAAGCTTTAAAAAAAACATATGACATCCTAAAAAGATATTTACAGTTCTGACCATGTGTCATAGATGCTGAGAGGAATTTGACAGTGATCTGGGGGAGACGGGATGGGGTCCAATAAAATCCATAGGTAGACTCTAAAACAATTTTAGCTTGTTCTTTGTAGCCATAAAACTTTAAGAGACCAATTTTTTAAAATGGTGGGGTGCCTACTAAAAACAATTCCTAATTGCTCTGGTTTTATGTTTATCTTATTAAAATATCCAAACACATTCCTAAACATGCAGGATTTAAATAGCTCACTTTTATGCATTTCTGGAAATGTATTTACTGTGACTCCCTCCAGCTTGCTGTGTGATTACAGGTAAATCATCTAACTTCTTGCGGCTTAGAGTCTAAATCTGTGGAATAGAGATGGTGGTACTTATCATCACAGGATACACTCTAGTACCCATATGTTATATGTACCAATGCTGATGTGCTTTTCATGCTAAGGGTAAGCAGATTTTGATAGCTGCAGAGAGGAGTGTAAGTGTAGAACACGATAACAGCAAAAAATCAATAACTCATTGATAAGCCTTGATTTGTGAGCTTATAAATGTCAGATACTGTGCCTGGGAATAGAAAGGATATTGAGAAGGGGTTTGTTACCTTAGGAAGATCCCCAACCAGTCAGGATGGTAAGAGAAGCAGAAAATTTAGAGTGCAACAACAATATTGATTGATACTTATATACAGCATTCACCATGTTTCAGGCATCCCTTCAAACAACTTAACCAATATTGACTCACTTAATCCTTACAACAACTTATTTGCAAAGAGAGAGAAACTGAGGCATGGAGATGAGAATTCTCTTACCCAAGGTTGTGCTTAGTCCTTGCATTTAATCATCATACTGTATTATAGAATGAAGGGAAAAAGATTGTTTCAAGCAGGGCTCAGATCGTTTTCTAAATATTTTCCATGAATTGTGAACATCTACGCTACAGGTGTCAAGCTTGTTAAATACCTTTTATAGAGGTAAAGGATATATCCCTTGCATATTGTTCTTCTAGTCTCCTGTATTTGCATAGGTTGTCATAATGATTGTGAAATTTTTTCTCATAGAATCCAGAGGGAGTGATCCCCTGTTCATTCTGTAGAAAGCCATGGCCAGTCAATCAGTGTTGGGCTCTAGTGGACACCTGTCATCTCTGTTTAAGCTCTGTTTTTGTTCCAACGTGCAACGATAGTTGAGTGTGATGTTTTCCTCTTAACTACTCTCTAATGAGTGTTTCTAACTGGACTAAAGACAGCTGGGGTCCTAATGTGATTTATTCCATCCAGTTTTATTCAGTCCTGTCCTGTCCCTTCCCATCCCATCCCATCCCATCCCATCCTATTCCATATCATCCTATCTCACCCCATCCCATCCTGTCCAGTTTGCTGTTTCTTTTCACGTTTATTTGTGGTCTCTTTCTCTTATTAGAATGTTGGTCCTTTCCTCTGAAGAAATATCTTTGTTTGAGTTAGTCAGTTGCATCTTTGCAATTTTCCTGGATGGGGCAGCTGCTCTTGACCTGGTCTAGGTTGGACCCCTCAAGACATTTCCTCATACTCTACCTCTGGAAATATAAGTCCTGAGCTTTGGAGTATGTCTGACTGAGAAAGATACTTTAACATTTTGAGCCTCAGTTTCCTTGACTCTAAAATAGGAATAATTAAATTTGATGAAAATGAAGAAAAAATAGTAAGTGCTTACCACAGTGTTAGGACTATAAAGCACTCATTAGTGTAGATACTATGATAGAATGGTTATAATAGTTATATCATCAACATGATTTAAAACACATGGGAATATATTTTAACTAGAAGAAATTGTTTGTGTATAAATTATATTTTAATTAAAAATTAGAATTAATGCTATGAAACACATATAAGAATCGCCACTGGTGTTGTTGGGGGGCCTTTTCTTCTGTCTTCTAAGCTTTACCATTAGTAGAGGATTTGTAGTATCAGACAAAAGTCCATTGGCGGAAATTTATTTCTGTTTGATTTGCTGTCATTGGGGAATGCCCAAAACAACTGCATAAAATAACCTTTACAATTCATCAGTGTTGTTAAAGCCTGTCCCTATCCCACCAGAACCAAAATGAAAGCAGTAAGAACCTCTTTACCATCCACTTCATTTTATAGTTTGTAAAGAAATTTTAAATCTCCCTTTCCCAAACATGGGAGGTTTGTTTTATTATTATCAGTTTTACTATTTTACAGATGAGGAAACAGACTTGGTGAATAAAAGTGACAGCAGTTCGTGAAGTCTGAACTTGAATCTGGTTAAAAACACACAAAGAAACAAAGCAACAAGCAAAATCTCATGCTCTTTCCAGTATGTCATGGGAGTCTGATACAGTGGGAAGTCAGTAGACCTGGGGTTAGAATTATGCCTCAGCTTCTCACTGGCTGATATTTTATCACTTTGAGTTTGGCTTTCTCCTCTCTAAATAAGAACATTAATCCTTTCAGCAAGTGGTTGATGTGAGGAATTAGTGATGCCATGTCCAGACCCATGCAGAGAATATCCTTGAGGGCTCTCTTTGCACTCTGCCTCTTTGAACTCTAAAATATTTTCTATTTAGCTTTTAGTTCACTGGGAAAATTCCAAATCCACCAGTCACTCAGACATTTATCCCAACCACCCATCTTTCTTTAGAAAGCACGACCAGCTATTCATAGTCATTCCTTCTTCTTTCTCCTCAAGGATATTTTCTTGACAACCCCCATTAAAGAATAAGCACAGAGTAGGTTCCCAGAAATGCTAATTTAATGATGGATGTTCTGCCTTCACCCTGGATAAAGAACACCCTGCCCTACATATTTCCTTGCACATAATAAAGATCACTGATTCATCATTGGGCCGAGTAGGGATCATCTACTCAGTGTCTAGAGGAAGGCTGTGGTGGTCTGCTGAATACTGTGGCTAATAAACCAAGAAGATGACCTCAGTTAATCCTCTTTCCTCATTAAAGATAGTTATAGATGTTTCCAGATCTGGCTGACACATTCCTTGGCTATTGAAGAACTAATGAATTTCATAGAAACAGAGAAAACAGGCATAAATAGTGAAAAGGCCATGAGAAAGTCATTTTAAATCTGCCAGAATCTGCCCCAAAGTCAACAAAACTTCATTTTTCCCCAGAACAGTTTAGAAGTATGAGAAAGGTCCCAGTCTCTAGGGAGTCTCTTAGCAACTAAGTTTATGATCTGTCATCCATCATCAAAACTCAGCATTTATTTCTTTAGAAACATCTTTTCTCTCTGCTTGAGTTTTGGTTTTGTTTGTAACCCCATTTCCACTCTTGAAGTTTTGATACGTGTACCTAGACTCATGAATATTTCAGTAACCTTTTTGACCTCCTTTTTTCCAGTATCTTCCCTAAAAGATCCATTTCCGCTTTTACGGTGTTCTCCTCTGGTTGAAACTTGGTGAACACTGGGTAGAGAATTAAGCTCATTCCCAACCCACAGGATTCACAACATGGTATCAGCTTCACCATCTGGTTCAACATGACCTTCAGTCCTATCTTTCTTACTCTCTTCCCCATCATACTCATTCTCCCCGTCTAACCTTTGCAGAAGATGGTTTCAAAGTCTTCTGTATCTCTCCTTCCAAGTTCAGCTCAAGTTCTTTTTTTTTTTCCATTTATTTTTATTAGTTGGAGGCTAATTACTTTACAACATTGCAGTGGTTTTTGTCATACATTGAAATGAATTAGCCATGGATTTACATGTATTCTCCATCCTGGTCTCCCCTCCCACCTCCCTCTCCACCCGATCCCTCTGGGTCTTCCCAGTGCACCAGGCCCGAGCACTTGTCTCATGCATCCAACCTGGGCTGGTGATCTGTTTCACCCTAGATAATATACATGTTTCGATGCTGTTCTCTTGAAACATCCCACCCTCGCCTTCTCCCAGAGTCCACAAGTCTGTTCTATACATCTGAGTTTCTTTTTCTGTTTTGCATATAGGGTTATCGTTACCATCTTTCTAAATTCCATATATATGTGTTAGTATACTATAATGGTCTTTATCTTTCTGGCTTACTTCGCTCTGTATAATGGGCTCCAGTTTCATCCATCTCATTAGAACTGATTCGAATGAATTCTTTTTAGTGGCTGAGTAATATTCCATGGTGTATATGTACCACAGCTTCCTCATCCATTTGTCTTCAGCTCAAGTTCTTCTAGTGAGCCCTCTCTGAGTACCTGCCTACATTACACAGTGTGCTTTAAGAAAAAAAAAATCTCTTCTGTCTTTTCTTTGAATTCTTTAACTCTAGCTTGTGTCTTCAATCATAATGCTTTATTATAATCTGTCTTTAAAATTTTTGTTTTACTGACATTGAATTATTGCCAGCCTTTGTGCCTTACCTAAAATTTCCTTGATGAGACCATGGCTCATCCTTTCTGGTTTTCCTCTTGGTCTAGCCTCTAGTACAGTGCCAGGCTCATAACAGAAGTTTAATAAATGAGCTTCTAATTCAGCTAGATGAATTTTCCATCTACAATTTTCATTTCCCCCTCTCTTTGCCATAGTTATTAGAAGTTATTAGAAGTCAATATCATAGTTATTGTATGATATTTATATTTTATGTGGTCTAGAATTCAAAGCAAGGTGAAACAAATACATTACAGAGAATGAAAAGGTATTAGTATTGTTATATGATCACTTCTAGAAAGTACTAATGGCAAATGGATGGGGAAACAGTGGCTGACTTTATTTTTCTGGGCTCCAAAATCACTGCAGATGGTGATTGCAGCCATGAAATTAAAAGATGCTGACTCCTTGGAAGGAAAGTTATGACCAACCTAGACAGCATATTAAAAAGCAGAGACATTACTTTGTCAACAAAGGTCCATCTAGTCAAGGCTTTGGTTTTTTCCAGTGGTCCTGTATGGATGTGAGAGTTGGACGATAAAGAAAGCTGAGTGTCGAAGAACTGATGCTTTTGAACTGTGGTGTTGGAGAAGACTCTTGAGAGTCCCTTGGACTGCAAGGAGATCCAACCAGTCCATCCTAAAGGAGATCAGTCCTGAATATTCACTGGAAGGACTGATGCTGAAGCTGAAACTCTATTACTTTGGCCACCTCATGCGAAGAGTTGACTCATTTGAAAAGACCCTGCTGCTGGGAAAGACTGAGGGCAGAAGGAGGAGGGGATGACAGAGGATGAGATGACTGGATGGCATCACCGACTCAATGGACATGGGTTTGGGTGGACTCCAGGAGTTGGTGATGGGCAGGGAGGCCTGGCATGCTGTAGTTCATTGGGTCGCAAAGAGTTGGACATGACTGAGTGACTGAACTGAACTGAGAAAGTAGTAATGTGCACATTAACTCTTTTTTGAAATGTAATTGATATTAGTATATCACATTGTATAAGTTTAAGGTGTACAACATGATGATTGATACACATGTATATTACAAAATGTTTATTAAAATAAGATTAATTAACAAATCCTTTCCCTCCCATAGTTATCATTCTGTTGTCGTTGTTATGGTGAGTCCATTAAAGCTCTACTCTAATAGTATGTTTTCAACTACACAACACAATATTGTTAATGAGAGTCATCATGATGTATGTTAAATCCTTGACATTTATCTTCTGACTGAAAGTTTGTACCCTTTGACCAATATTTCTCTGTTTTTCCTGGCAACCAGAACTACTTGTTCCATATTTTTAGACTCCATGTATAATGCTATCTCTTCGTGAACACAGTATGGAATTAAGTACAACAACTTCAGTGCATATGTTTTTGTATCTGCTCCCTCTTTTCCATTCCATGGGTCTCTGACCTAGTTCTGAGTTTCATTCTTTCTCACTTAGACATTGCAATAACATCCTTTACTCTTTTTATGCTTTAAATTTCTCCTTCATTCTGCACATAGCCATTGAGGACCTTTAAGAAATACAACTTCACCATATCAATCCCTGCTTAGAAACTCAACACGCTACTCACTATCTTTGAATTAAATCCAAATTCCTTAGTCTGTTATCTAACACCTTCCTAGATCTGATCCCATCCTATAGTTTCACCTTTTTCATTTAATAGTCTTCTTAATGGCCCTTATATTCTATCCAAACCAAATTCCTTGTATTGAGCTTCATACATAATGCTTTGCTTGGCTAACTTGCACCTTTGCCAGAAAGGGCCCTCTATTTCATTCCTTTGTATATAAACGGTACTTTATCTTTAAGAAGCAATTTCAAACTAATACAACCTTTCCTGATCACCTCACTATGAAGGAATTCTCCTCTCTCCAAATGCCGGCATAGCACTACCCTCTAATGGCATTTATTACCTTCTATTTTGGGTTTAGTTATTTATGAACATTCACTCATTTATTTGTTCCCTCAATAAAAAGGTCAAACAGAACTGTGCAATGTGCGGGATACAAAAGGAATGTAGTCTACTGGGCGGATAGTAGGAAGTCCCAAATAGAAAGATATAATATAGAAATATGATAGTGGATGTTAAAGAACTCTGAAAGGCTGATAAAGGTTGGCCTAGATATGTCTGGGGAAATCATGAAAGTCTCAGAGGAGTAGAGCGTGAGTTCCAACCTAAAAGATGTTTAGGCACTAATTAGCCAGGTGGACAAGGTGAGGAGCTGGCAGGGGGTGGGGTAGTTAAGAGAGGCAGATAGCTCAGGTGGAGGGCATAGGTTTAGAAAAGGCATAGTCACAGGAGAAATCAAGGCACATTTGAGGAAGGCAAATTAATCATTATGATGGGGAATATAAACTCCTGTTAAAGAGTTTAGAGGTCAGCCTGTTAGCAGGCATGCTGAAGATTTCAATCAGGGGAGTTACATGATTGGATTGTGGGTTAGACTCAGAGAAACTGTCAGCAACCTGGTAGGGGATTCATGTCTGATTTATCTGTTTTTCCCGATTGTGCTCAGCACAGTGCCAGGCACATGGTTTATGTACAAATTATATTTATTAAGAAGTGAAAGAAAGGGAGGTGTCCACTTACAGACTGCAACAGAAATAGAAAGGTATATGATTGCTTCTATGTCCTGGCTATTGTAAATAGTGCTGCAGTGAATACTGGGGTGCATGCATCCTTTCAAATTATGATTTTCTTTGGTATATAACTATGAGCGGGATTGTAGGAACATATGGTAGCTCTATTTTGTTTTCTAAGGAACCTCCTTACTGTTTTCCATAGTGGCCAGTTTACATTCGCATCAGCTGTGTTGGACGGTCCCTTTTATCCATACCCTCTCCAGCATTTATTATTTGTAGATTTTTTTGACAATGATGGCCATCCACTGTAGTTTTGGCTTCAGTTCAGTTCAGTCGCTCAGTCATGTCTGACTCTTTGTGACCCCATGAATCTCAGCACACCAGGCCTCCCTGTCCATCACCAACTCCTGGAGTCTACCCAAACTCATATGCATTGAGTCGGTGATGTCATCCAGCCATCTCATCCTCTGTCATCCCCTTCTCCTCCTGCCCCCAATCCCTCCTAGCATCAGGGTGTTTTCCAATGAGTCAACTCTTTGCATGAGGTGGCCAAAGTATTGGAATTTCAGCTTTAACATCAGTCCTTCCAATGAACACCCAGGACTGATCTCCTTTAGGATGGACTAGTTGCATCTCCTTGCAGTCCAAGGGACTCTCAAGAGTCTTCTACGTTTCTCATGATGTACTCTGCATATAAGTTAAATAAGCAGGGTGACAATATACACCTTGACGTACTCCTTTTCCTATTTGGAACCAGTCTGTTGTTCCATGTCCAGTTCGAACTGTTGTTTCCTGACCTGCATATAGGTTTCTCAAGTTTTGGCTTACATATCTCTAATAATTAGTGATGTTGAGGATCTTCCCATATGTTTTTTTGTCAACATATATGTCTTCTTTGGAGAAATGTCTATTTAGATCTTCCACTCATTTTTTGATTGGGTTGTTTTATTTCATATTGAGTTGCATGTGCTGTTTGTATATTCTGGAGATTAATCCCTTGCTAGTTGCTTTGTTTGCAAATATTTTCTCCCATTCTGAGGGTTGTCTTGAATGGATAAAGAAGATGTGGCACATATATACAATGGAATATTATTAAACCATAAAAAGAAATGAAATAATGCCATTTGCAGTGATATGGATCAACCTAGAGATTGCTATACAGCCAGAAGTAAGTCAGAAAGTGAAAGACAAATACTGTATAATATTGCTTATATGAATCTAGAATACAGAAAATTCTATATTCTAAATTTTATATGAATATAGAATCTAGAAAAATAATACAGATGAACTTATTTACAAAGCAAAAGTAGAGTCACAGGTATAGAAAACAAATTTATGACTACCAAGGGGAGAAGAGGGGGCGGGATAAATTGGAACATTGGGATTACCATATATGAAAGTGTGAAAGTGTTAGTTGCTCAGTTGTATCCAACTCTTTGTGACCCCATGAACTGTAGCTCACCAGGCTCTTTCAGTGGAATTCTCCAGGCAAGAATACTGGAGTGGGTAGTCATTCCCTTCTCCAGGGTATCTTCCTGACCCAGGGATTGAACCCAGGTTTTCTACATTGCAGGCAGAATCTTTACAGTCTGAGTCACCAGGGAAGCCCTTAACATAAATATACAAGTATATATAAAATAGGTAACTAATGAAAATCTGCTGTATAGCACAGGAAACTGTATTGTATTCTGTGGTGACCTAAATGGGAAAGGAATCTAAAAAAGAATGGATATATGTATATGTATAACTGATTCACTTTGCCGTACAGCAAAAAATAACACAATGTTGTAAAGCAACTATACTCCAACAAAAATTAATAAAAAATAAAATTTGTGGATCCCAGTATAAAAGGAAAAAGAAAAAAAAAAAAAAGAAAGAAAGATGTATGAACTGTAAGTTGCACACTTCACCTGTATTACTCAGATCACACAGATAGAGGGCATTTTCTAGCTTCCTGAACCTGTCGATCCATGTCTCACATTCTTCAGATGTGTTTTTCATCACAGGACTGACAGAAGGCTGTGAGACTGGCCTGATCTTCAAGGCATTCAGGATATCTTTGGGGGCTGAAGTCTCAGCAGGTGGGTTTTCTGGTTTCAAATCTTTTTCTGGAGTTTTCTACCAAAACAGCAGAAACATCTCACTGGTAAGGCATTCACCACCCAGAGCTCCCCCAGTTTCTTGACCAATGACAAGGCTACCCAACTAGCAATATTTATTGTGGGTCTGTCTTGTAAATCTGGAGGATGGCTTTCAAGTCCTCAGTGCTATATGACCATATCTGCCAAGTCTTACTGGACACAGACTACTATGTTGAGTATTTTCTTTTTTCTTTAAAGGAAGGATGAAATTGTGACTTTAATTCAGCTTGCATTTCTAGTTTACACAGAGGTTTCATAACTAGCTAAGATTTTTCATGATGTTCTACTCTATTTTATACTACTAGGATGCATAGGCAATGCTTATAATTTCTTGGTGGGAAAACTTTTGAATCCTTGAGTGTGAGATTCTTGACAAAAAGTGATTTAAACAATAATGTGATGTTACCTTGGATGTGTGGGCTCACTGTAATGAATCAAGGTGCCTCTAGTTTTGCCTGTCCTATTCATTTAACAAAGGAAGCTGACGCCCAGTGTGGGGAATAGACATATTCACTGTACGGTTGATGGTAGGCAGAAAACTAGATCAAGGGTATAGAGATTATGTCAGGCTCATCTTTGTATCCTAAACTCATGTCCAGTACAGAATAGAGATGTTTTTAGAATAAATAGACAAATGAGTTTCAGTAGATCCATGAAAGACATTCTGTCACCTGCCATGTAAAGAGAGTGGACATTTATTGTTTGACCTGCCCAACCCCACTTTTCCAGGAATTACCCTTCCTGTTGATACATATGGTTGTAGAGAGAACATCATGCATCTAAGCACATAGTGCAGGACTGGACATCTAATGCAAAATGGCCAATAAATACAAATCCAGTGATTTTGGAATCACTTGTGAGAGCTAAAGGCAGAGATAGGAAATCAGAGATTATTCTGGGTGAGAGATGAGAAGAAAGAGAGAGAGAAGGGATATGAAAGTGACATCAGAGAAGAGAGAAGATATAAGAAACCGTGATGATGTTCAAAGCTCAAGTCTCTGATTTTAATTTGCTATATTTCTATCGTTGGATATAATTATAGATATATTATTATATATATGATTATATATTAAATAATTATAAATTATTTTATGTACACAATTTGTTTTATAAATAATTATATATGCAAAATATGCTCCTCTATCCATCTAATAAATTAAGTTGGTTGAGTTGATTATGTTAGTTGCAATCCAAATATTCTTAACTAATTTGTCACAGAATTAGGCCTCCCACTTTGTATACCATCTTTGCTTCTCCCAACTTTCAAATACCTGAATTTCTCCATCCTTGTCTCAAACTTCTCACATATAAGCTGTGGAGATCCCACTGCTCTAAAGAATAGTAATTTCAATAAGAGGCTAAGTTAACAACAAACATGAATTCAGTAATCCATGTAGATCGATGCTGGGGAATGTGAACAGTCATCTTGTTTGAAATAATATAAAGCTATACAAAATTGTATGCACTTCCCTCATGGCTCAGATGGTAAGAGAATCTGCTTGCAATGCAGGAGACCTGGGTTCAATCCCTGGGTAGGGAAGATCCTCTGAAGAAGGAAATGGCAACCCACTCCAGTACTCTTGCCTGGAAAATTCCGTGGATGGAGGAGCCTCATAGGCTATTGTTCATGGGGTCGCAGAGAGACACGACTGAGCGATTTCACTTTCACTTTCATACAAAATTGTATCCATATGGATGACCAGTGACCAGTACATTTTAAGAGATTAATATATAAGAGTTCTACTTTTATAAAATCAATTTTGAGAGAAGCTGAAAGTTTTTATAAAGTAAATACCATAGGGATTCTTATACTTTTTAGAGCTTTGGACTACTTTAGAAATCCAATGAAAACTTCAGATAATCTACCCAGATAAATGCACATTTGCATAGGATTTGTATGATTTTAGAAAGTTCAAAGAGGTCCTTGGAGTTGAGGAACTGACTTTAAATAATTACATATTTCTTCAGATATTTCCACACTTTCTTTGATCTCTAAAGACAGGGGATGAGGGAATTTGTCTGAGCCTGAAATAACCTGGTAGGTAAGTAAGTAACTGACTAACACACCCTATACTGTTTTGGTCCCACTGTGTCACAATGTCATCCAAATTCCTTTCTTGGCCCTTGAAATCATTTAAGTTTTTGTTCTTGCCTCTCTTTTGATATATGCATCTTTTTCTCCAGCCACATAAAGCTGGGAAAAAAATAAAGCTGCCTGATGCTCTTATGCCTTTTACATGCTGTTTTTGCTGCTGTAAAAGTCCTTTTTGCCATCTGTGCCTCAGTGCGTTGGGCTCCTACTCATCCTTCAAGGCCCAACTCATATTTCCCTCCTTATGGGAGGCCTTCCTTGACAGCCTCAGAATAGGAGAGGGAAAATTCTTTATAGCCCTTTTATCCATCATAGCACTTATTATTGGATAGTGTCTGTTAGAGTATCTCTTCCCTCCCTCAGAGATCTGGAGGCTGGGCCTGTGAGATAGTCATTTATGTATCTACAAGTTTTGGTTATTGACTGTCACATAGTAGGTGCTCAGGATATGTTTACTGAATGAATAAGTGAATGCATCAATGAACAATTTTCTCTGGGGCAATCAGAAAGCTGCTTTACCAAACCTCTGCCTCAGTTTCCCTTTCTAAAAAGTGAGACAATGAATGCTGCTTATATAGGAATGTGAGAAGAATCGATTATTGCCGAGATGCAGTAAAATCTTCAAACGAGGCAAGAAAAAGAGCAAACTATATATTTTTTATAATCTTACACACAACAGACTTAACACTCAAGGAGAAAAGCATTTGCTGTTGTTTCTTGCATGGCAGAGGCATGCCAAAATGGATACTATTTTCTAAAATATTTCAAAGTGTGAAGTGTATGAAGAGGCCTCCCGTCATTTGAAGATGAATTATGTTCTAATCCAGGCATTTAAAAAAACAACAACAACAGAGAAACTCAGGCTGTTTTTCAATTTTGTCTGCATCTTCTGGCTAAGTGCTGGGAATATTAAAAAGAATTTTAACTGCTTGCCAGATTTTCTTTTTTTAAATCAAAGAGCCCATTACATTTTAAAATGTGATGTCTGGGGAAAAGGTCACCCTGCTTCTGGAAGCTGGATTTAAGATGTTAAAATAGGCCTAACAACCACCCTTTATTTTGATGGCAGTTGGTGACCGGTCACAGGCTTTGGAAGGACACCTGTTCACACACCACAGGTTCAATGTTTGGGGGCCAATGGCAAGTTGGTCACTGAGTGGTGATGAGAAGTTTCTGCAAGCATACAGGCTCAGACAGAAATCAACCACACTCTTGGAGTTCTATTTCCCTTCTCTGCTTGAGTAGAGTATTGAAGTCACAGATAGTCTGATATTGAAGTACTGGATGGAAATCAAAAATTCAGAAGGGACAGCCTAACCCAGCATCAGAGCATAGAAGGCAAAGGATTGGTGAAGCCCATCCCCAAGTTCTATACTAGGCTGCATACCATTTGTTCAGTTTTTCCTTGAGATATCTCAGGAACTTCAGGATGCCCTGGAGTAGCAGAAATTTCCTTTCCTTTCTTTCCTGGACAAGAAAGAAAAAAATGGTTTTAACTTGGTCTCTTCCTTTTAACGTATACACATATACACCCAGGCAAAGAAAATGTTGAGACTCTGCTATGTGGTTGGCATTGTATGGGGTGATGGGGATACCCTGGTAGAGAAGAAGGATCTAATTCCTGCCCTGATGAAGCTCACAAAGGGGAGATAAGTGCTAAATAATCACTCAAGATTATTATTTAATTACAAACTACCATAAACACAACAAAGGAAAATGTGAAAATAAATTTCTTTCAGGCTAGGGGTAGGAGTGATGGAGGATCAGAGAAGGCTTCTTGGAAGAAGTGACACTTAAACTGGGGAACTGAGGGTGAATAGGAGTTTCCAGGAAAAGGTGATGGCGGCATTGCAAAAAAAGAATAAAATGCTTAGGAATAAATTTACCTAAAGAAACAAAAGACCTATACATAGAAAACTATAAAACACTGATGAAAGAAATCAAAGCTGACACAAAGAGATGGAGAAATATTACCGTGTTCATGGATTGGAAGAATCAATATAGTGAAAATGAGTATACTACCCATAACAATCTATGATTCAATGCAACCCCTATCAAGCTATCAATGGTATTTTTCACAGTACTAGAATAAATAATTTCACAATTTTTATGGAGACACAAAAAACCTCAAATAGCCAAAGCAATCTTGGGAAAGAAGAATGGAACTGGAGGAATCAACTTGCCTGATTTCAGACTATACTACAAAGCTACAGTCATCCAGACAGTATGGTACTGGCACAAAGACAGAAATGAAGATCAGTGGGACAAAATAGAAAGCCCAGAGATGAATTCATGGACCTATGGACACCTTATCTTTGACAAAGGAGGCAAAAATATACAATGGAGAAAAGACAATCTCTTTAACAAGTGATGCTGGGAAAACTGGTCAACCACCTGTAAAAGAATGAAACTAGAACACTTTCTAACACCATACACAAAAATAAACTCAAAATGGATTAAAGATCTGAATGTGAGACAAGAGACTATAAAACTCCTAGAGGAAAACATAGGCAGAACACTGTCTGATATAAATCACAGCAAGATCCTCTATGACCCACCCCACCTCCCAGGGTAATGAAAATAAAAGTAAAAATAAACAAATGGGACCTAATTAAACTTAAAACCTTTTGCACAATGAAGGAAACTATAAGCAAGGTGAAAAGACAGCCTTCAGAATGGGAGAAAATAATAGCAAACAAAACAACTGATGAAGAATTAATCTCCAAAATTTACAAGCAGCTCATGCAGCTCAATACCAGAAAAATAAATGATCCAATCAAAAAATGGGCCAAAGAACTAAACAGACATTTCTCCGAAGAAGACATACAGATGGCTAACAAACACATGAAAAGATGCTCAACATCACTCATTATCAGAGAAATGCAAATCAAAACCACAATGAGGTACCATCTCATGCCAGTCGGGATGGCTGCTATCCAAAAGTCTACAAGCAATAAATGCTGGAGACGGTGTGGAGAAAAGGGAACCCTCTTACACTGTTGGTGGGAATTGCAAACTAGTACAGCTACTATGGATAACAGTGTGGAGATTCCTTAAAAAGCTGGAAATAGAACTGCCATATGACCCAGCAAACCCATTGCTGGGCATACACACTGAGGAAACCAGAATTGAAAGAGACAGGTGTACCTCAATGTTCATTTCGGCACTGTTTACAATAGCTAGGACATGGAAGCAACCTAGATGTCCATTGGCAGACAAATGGATAAAAAAGCCGTGGTACATATACACAATGGAATATTAAAAAGAACACATTTGAGTCAGTTCTAATGAGGTAGATGAAACTGGAGCCTATTATACAGAGTGAAGTAAGTCAGAAAGAAAAACACCAATACAGTATATTAACGCATATATATGGAATTTAGAAAGATGGTAACAATGACCCTATATGCAAGACAGCAAAAGAGACACAGATATAAAGAACAGACTTTTGGACTCTGTGGGAAAAGGCGAGGGTGGGATGATTTGAGAGAATAGCATTGAAACATGTATATTACCATATGTGAAACAGATCACCAGTCCAAGTTCGATGCATGAAACAGGGCACTCAAAGCTGGTGCACTGGGACAACCCAGAGGGATGGGATGGGGCGGGGGGGAGGAGGGAGGCGGGTTTGGGATGGGGGACACATGTACACCGGTGGCTGATTCATGTCAATGTATGACAAAAACCACCACAATATTGTAAAGTAGTTAGCCTCCAAATAAAATATATTAATTAAAAAAAATTAAAAAAAAACAAACACACACATGGTGGGCATGTCCATAGAACAGAGAGTTCCAGATAAAGAGAGATACCAGCCTGTTGAACTTCCCTGAATGAAGAGGGCTTTTCCAGTTTGGGGAGTGGCAAGGGGCCTTTTCCTGTGGTCTTTCCTCTTAGAGAATGAAGCACTTCCACCTCCCTTTCCATTCAAGTTTGCACTTGAAAGATCATGTAAAACCTTTGTCTTCCCCTTTCTTGTTCCTTCCTATGGTCAGAGGTCCTATATGGAAAGAGTACGGCATCCCTACCCCAGGGGATTTTACGGCCCATGTACTACTTGCTCTGGCTGCTGCCTTCATGAATAGAAGAAATTTCCTTAGGAAGCAGGAAAAATACATGAAGACCTTCAGTTTAAGTCCACTGAGCTTTATTGTGGGCATCATTCATTCATCGCTCAACACCTGTCATCAGAGTTGGCAACTTATTACTGACAGCTACATAGCACAGATTTCTGGGAGCTTCAGCTTCAATATTTAATGCATAATTCAAATATGCTATTGTGTGCGTGCTTAGTCACTTTAGTTGTACCTGACTCTTTGCAACTCTGTGGACTGTAGCTCACCAGGCTTCTCTCTCCATGGGGTTCTCCAGGCGTGAATACTGGAGTTGGTTGCCTCAATCTTCCCAATCCCAAGGGATCAAACCCACGTCTCCTGTGGCTCCTGCATTGCAAGTGGATTCTTTACTGCTGAGCCACCAGGGAAGCCCCAAATGTGCCATTAACAAATACATATTGTTTCTGAGTTGTCTGTTGCTATTTTCAATAAAATGATTCAATCAATGAATTTTTAAAAAGGATAGAAGTCAACAGTATAACATAATGGTGGGGGAATAGAGGCTCTGAAGCCAGATCCCTTGGATTTGAGTCCTGGCTTGACTCTTTTCTCTATTAGCTGCATGATTTAGGGCAAGGAACTTGTCCTCTCTGTGTCTGTTTCCACTTCTGTAAAATGGGGATAATGCCATCTATAGGTTACTGTGAAGATTAAATGGACTAGAAAATGTAAAGCAAATACTTGGAGCATAGCAGGTACTCAAATAAATAGCTACTACGTTAACTAGTAGCTATCTATGTAAGGATGCTTATAAAATAAACATATTGGATTAAAGAGCTTTTTGTTAGACTCTTAACATTGCACTTACAAATAATTATGAATCTTCTCCCACAGTTTCTTGATGGAGAAGGCAATGTGATTTCATAATCTCTGAAGGCCCAGAACCCAGCATTAGAATAAGTACTCAATGCATGTAAAATGGATGATCATGTGCCCTTAATTTGAAGTTTGGAAAATAAAGTCACTGATTGTATATTTCTATGTTTACCATTCCTTTTCAGGCCCTTTAGGAGGAAGGATTTTTCTCTCTTCTTCCATATCTAACCCAGATGCTACAGATGAACTTGGGTGTCAGGTATGAATGCTATTAATATAATCCAGATGTTTCCCTTTACCAGCTGCAAGCTTTCAGATCTTAATCTTGTCAGTTGTGAAAAGGGAATGATAATTGCATTTTGAAATTATAATTTATGTAGGTAATTAAAAACTACCCACATAAAAATGCTTAACACAGGGAAGATGCCTAATGCAATGTAGTATTGTTTGCCATTGTGTTACTATTATGTGATTTTAAGCAATCTAGTTTCTCCAGAAAAGAGAACTTTGCATTATGTGCCAGGAATTTTTCACATGCATTATTCTTTTTAATATAAGATCTAGTACCTAGAGTTTGTCCCAATCCAGTTTCTCTATTGTTGGCATTTCTAAAAGTCCCATAAGGAGAAAATGCAGGCTCATCTCCTTGGCTTCTTTTAAGCTGTTCTTTCTCCTTCCTAATGCTTATAAGCATATTTTAAAAGGTAATGTTTTTCACATGTGGAAATTGAGAAATCCAAGGTAGGGATGATTTTTTTTTTCTTTCTAACACAGAAGGAAGGACAAATAATAACCATCTGTCTAGTCTGCCTTGAAGATTTGCATTGGAGGAAACAGGCCAAGCTAGCTTCTAGAGATCTCCAGGTATTGTAAGGGCCAGGTTTTACAAGGCTTCCAGTGGATTCTGAGAGTTACACAGCCAGCTCTACCATCTCTCCCCACATCCCCCACTAATAACTTGAAATCAGTGGTCTTCAGCACTGGTGCTAAAATGCTCCCACCTGGAGAGCTTTAAAAATTACCAATGCCTACGTGTCACGCCAGACCAGTTATATCAGAATCTCTAGGGGGTGAGAACCCAGTTTGGGACTTCTAAAAAATTCCCAGGTAAACCTAAAATAAAGTCATAAATAAAAACTGACTAAAAAAATTAAATAATACTGTTTGCAGCAACATGAACAGACCCAGAGATTATCATACTAAGCGAAATAAGTAAAAACGAGAGACAAATACATGTGGAATCTAAAAAAGTGATACAAATGAACTTATAAAACTTATAAAAACTCACAGACATAGAAAATAGATTTAAGGTTATCAAAGGGGTGGGGAGAAATAAATGGGTTATTTGAGATTGGTAGATAAACAGTAAGGACCTGCTGTATAGCACAGGGGAGTATATTGAATATCTTGTAACAACTTAGAGAGTAAAGGCACCTGAAAAGCTGTAGTGATGGTTTAGTTGCTAAGATGTGTCTGACTCTTTGTGACTCCATGGACTGTAGCCTGTCAGGCTCCTCTCTCCATGGGATTTCCCAGGCAAGAATACTGGAGTGGGTTGCCATTTCTTTCTTCAGGGGATCTTTCCAACCCAGAGATAAAACCCATGTGTCCTGCATTGCAGATGGATTCTTTACCACTGAGCTACTATGGAAGCCCCGTGTGTGTGTGTGAGTGTGTGTGTGTGCACACATGTGTGTGAAATTAAAAGATGCTTGCTCCTTGTAAGGAAAGCTATGGCAAACCTAGACAGTGTATTCAAAAGCAAAGACATCACTTTGCTGACAAAGGTCCGTCTAGTCAAAGCTATGGTTTTTCAGTAGTCATGTATGGATATGAGAATTGGCCACAAAAAAGGTTGAATGTTGAAGAATTGATGCTTTTAAATTGTGGTGCTGGGGGAGACTCTTGAGAGTCCCTTAGACTGCAAGAAGATCAAACTAGTCAATCCTAAAGGAAATCAACCCTGAATATTCATTAGAAGGACTGATGCTGAAGCTGAAGCTCCAATACTTTGGCCATCTGATGTGAAGAACTGACTCACTGGATGCTGGGAAAGACTGAAGGTAAAAGGAGAAGAGGGCGGCAGAAGATGAGATGGTTGGATAGTATCACCAACTCAGTGGACATGAATTTGAACAAACTCAGGGAGATAGTGAAGGATGGAGAATCTTTGTGTTCTGCAGTCCATGGGGATTGCAAAGAGTCAGACCCAACTAAGCAACTGAACAACAATCTGCTATAGTTTCTTAGGTAGTAAAGTTCTCTCCTTCTTGGCAGGACCTCCCAAAAGAGCGTGCTGTGGAGGGATGAAAAGCCTAGCTCCCAGAACTATTTTGCTATTACAGGAGTGCCCAGTACAGTTGGACACCAACATTTAGAACGTGAAGATGATGCCAACACCAGATAAAGGAAGCAGAAAGCCAGAGAGCAGATTCTTGACCTGACACTTGAAGTGAAAGTCGCTCAGTCATGTCCGACTCTTTGCAACACCATGGACTTAGTCCATGGAATTATCCAGGCCAGAATACTGGAGTGAGTAGATTTTCCCTTTTCCAGGAGATCTTCCCAAGCCAGGGATCAAACCCAGGTTTCCCACATTGCAGGCAGATTCGTTACCAGCTGAGCCACAAGAGAAGCCCAATGGCTAGATAAAACCATTCTAGCTCTTGCTGCTGCCCGAGTTTTCAGTTACATAAACCAAAGCTTTTCTGTTCCTTCAATATAAGTAGTTCTAACTAGGAATTACTATGGATTTTTTTACCCTTAATAAAAGGGAGGTTAAACTCAGCCATTTTTCTATGTTATCTTGAGTGATGGGCCATCGGTAAATGTTTAGGGGGATCAATGAGCCTCCGAGGCGACCATCATTGCCTTCTAATTTCCCCCCATCTGCAGTCATGCGATAGGCCTGTTCCTTGCTTCCTGCTTCCCCTCTTCTTCTCCCTCACTTCACCGGCTCCACTGTGAAGAGGTTCAAAGTTGGGTCGTACTTCATTTTTGTAAAATACTACTTTAGATCTTAGAACATATGTATCTGGAGGGGGTCTAAGCTCTTTTGTATTTGTCTTTATGGGAGTTTGCAGCATTTCTTGGATCTATGGCTTGAGGTATTTTTTTCACTGTTGGCAATTTTCAGTCATAATTTTCTTCAATATGGCTTCAGCTCTACTCTCTTCCTCCTATCATTCTGTGACTTCACTACATGTATGTTGGATGTTGTCACTATTTCCTATATATCTTTTATATACTCTTTTTGCATATTTTGTCATCTTTTCTCATTCATACTTCAATGTGAATATTTCCTACTGAATCATATTCTAGTTCACTAATTCTCCCTTCAGATATGCCCAGTCTTTTGTTAAACCCATCTATTAAGTTTTAAAATTTAGTTATTTTTAAATTTTTTTGTGTTCTACATATTCCATTTGATTCTTTTTATAGATTCAAATTATTTGCTGAAAATTCTCCGTCTTAATAATTTTCTCAAACATACTAATTACAGTTATTTGAAAATCCACATCCCCTGTTATACCATTGCTGATGATTTCTAATTGAATGCTGGAAACATTTTGTGTGGATAATTCTAGAGATTTTATGAGATGTTAACTTCTTACACAGAGTGGATTTTCCTCTTTTCTATCTGGTTGTTCAACTTGAATTCCAAATAATATCCTTCAAAGAAATATTATTTTGTATTTTATCTTGTATTCTGGTTGATCTTGCCAAGATTCTGATCCTTAGTCTAAGTTACAGACATTAAGTGTTTATGTGATATGCAAATATCATATGCACATTAAAAGCAAGTTCATAGAATTTTTGTGATTCCAAATGTGATCAAGTTTATAATATGAGGCAATATATATAAAAATGAATCATTTTAATCAGGTTATCATAGAATCTTCTAATGAAAATTGGAATGAGAAAATTCACAGTTCTACACACTCCAAATGCATAGCTATCTTTAGTTTCTTATAATATCCCTTCTTTCCTTTTATGACACTTAACCTGTTGGGCTAAAGAACCAGCAAACAAAATGGCCCACTCGGTGCCTAACAGCATTTTAATAATCATAGCCCCAGCAATATAGGAATGGGAAGAGATCAAGACTAAGTTTCTCAGTAAGCCACAGGCTGTCACAACAATGCAACAGCAGCACCACTACACTCCTGTTGCTCTGTAGAGTGTAATACTGCCTAACATTGTTTGTTAGACTTACAGTCACCCTATGAGATTCTAGGTTCTGCTAAGAGTACACCTTTCTCTACACTCCTTCAGCCCTAAGGATGATAGCTGCTTTCTATAGTTACTAGTATCTAGGTTATCTCATGGTCATGGGTTGAAATATATCCTTTAAACAGGTACCACTGAAACCTGTTAATAAGGCCCTGTTTGAAAACAACTTAAGATGTAATCAAGTTAAGATGACATCATTATGGATTTGGTTGGGCCCGAACTTGAATGAACAGTAGTGTCTTTGTACAAAGAGAGGGAGGATTTAGACACAGGTACGAAAGAGAGGCAGAGAAGGAAGAAGGCCATAGGAAGACAGAGGCAGAGATTGTAGTTATGTAACCATAAGCCAAGAACAGCCTGCGGCCACCAGAAGCTGGGAGAGGCAAGGAAACACTCTTTCCTAGAGCCTTGAGAGGGAGCATGGCCCTCCTGACATCTTGATTTCTGACGTATAGTGTCCAGAACCATGAGGGAAGAAATTTCTGTTATTTTAGGCCACTCAGTTTCTGACTTCGTTGTGACAAATGCCCGAGGGAAATGAACACACTCTTTATTCTCATTTTGCGCTTTCAGTCTTCTAATTATGGATAATAACCAATCCCTCAACCCCCTGCTATAAATTCCCTTTGTTTGAAATACCTAGTGAGGTTTCTGTTTTTCACTGGAATGCAAACTGATATACTACACTTCCCACCAAACTCTCAGTACCTTGTATCTTGATCCAAAGGGTAACCAGTAAATGGTTGATGGATGTAATAAATAGAGAATTGCAACAACAGATTAGTATCAATGCATATTTTTTCACCTGTCATATTTAACACTTGTTAATTGCTAAATATTTTGCCCAATTCATCTTCATCATTTCACTTAATAATATATCTTGGAAATCTTCCTGTATTAGATCAGCCATGTGATTTTACAGCTGCATAGTTATAGTAATTGGATATACTGTAATTTAATAAAATGGTGCTTGAAGGATCTTGGCTTCCCTGGTGGCTCAGATGGTAAAGAATCTTCCTGCAACGTGGGAGACCTGGGTTTGATCCCTGGATCGGGAAGATTCCCTGAAGAAGGGAGTGGGTCCCTGCTCCAGTATTCTTGCCTGGAGAATCCCCATGGACAGAGGAGGCTGGCAGGTTACAGTCCATGGAGTTGCAAAGAGTCGGACATGACTGAGTGACTAAGCACACAGCACACACAAAAATTATACCACTGTATATAAATCTTGGAGAGCTTTTTGGTGAGGTATTAGTAGGGAAAGTACTTAGCTATAGGATTCCCAGATCTAAGGGACTATGCAACTGAAATTCTAATAAGTAATATCAACTTCTTTTATAAATGCACTACATCCATATTAAAGGGCTATTTCTAGATAATGCTTCATGATGCACTACATGAATGAATGGATAAAGAAGCTGTGGTACATGTATGTGATGGAATATTACTCAGCCATAAAAAGGAACACATTTGAGTCAGTCCTAATGAGGTGGATGAACCTAGACCCTATTATACAGAGTTGAGTAAGTCAGAAAGAGAAAAACAAATATCATATACTAATGCATGTATATGGAATTTAGAAAAATGGTACTGGTGAACCTATTTGCAGAGCAGCAGTGGAGATGCAGACATTGAGAACAGATTATAGATACAGCTGGGGTGGGGGAGGCAGGAGAGAGTGGGATGTATGGAGACAGCAACGTGGAAACATAAAGTCATCTATTTTACCATGTGTAAAATAGATAGCCAATGGGAATTTGTTGTATGACTCAGAGAACTAAACCAGGGCCCAGTAACAACCTAGAGAGGTTGGATGGGGAGGGAGGTGGGAGGCAGGTTCAAGTGGGAGGGGACATGGGTAAACCTATGGCTGATTCATGTTGATGTTTGGTAGAAACCAACACAATATTGTAAAGCAACTAACCTTCCATTAAAAATAAATAAATAAATAAACTCTTTAATTAAAAAGAAAAACCTGGGAATTATGCCTTTTATGATCTAACTGACCTAAACAAATAACCATTAATGCAAACTTCACTCTTAATTTTTCTTCACTGGTAAGCTATTTACATTTCTGGGAGAAATGATGTGAAATCCAACAGACAGACCATTGGAGCTAAGTCACAGCATCAACAAGAGCTCTGGGAATGGGAGGTCTCTTAAGGAACAAAATAACCAGACTCACCTGGAGGAAAATCAGATGACAAATCAGAGGAAGCTCTGCCCAACCACTCAACAAAATTCTCCCATCTATGCAAGAAAAGGAAACATAGTATCTGTGATCAAAGTAGGAAGCTCTGAAAGAATGTACAAAAAAGCTGAAAAGATATATAGACTGTGATATCATAGGAATTTTTTGATGCCTCTATCATTAGGGGTTCAGTGAAGGAAATGGAAGCTACTTTACGTGTCTCAGGGATTCCCTGGTGATGGTAAAGAGTCTGCAATGCAGGAGACCTGAGTTTGATCCCTGGGTTGGGAAGATCCCTTGGAGAAAGAAATGGCAACCCACTCTAGTATTCTTGCCTGGAAAATCCTATGGACAGAGGAGCCTGGGGGGCTGAAATCCATGGGGTCAAAAAGAGTTGGACAACTGAGAGACTTCATTTTCTTTCTTTTCTTCTTAGGTGTTTCTACTAGAAATGGAAATTAAGTGCCCACAAAGTTATTGCAGGGGCTAGTAGAATGGAGGTTGGTGTCTGCCGATGGGCTAAGGGTTAGGTCTCAGTAGATGTAGTCCAGAGTCCAGGCAACTGCAGGAAATTCTAGCTGATGTCTCAGTTGCCCTTGACCATGAGTTTGGTGACTAGACAGTATAGATGGCATTCTGGCCACTGCAAAAACTGAGGGTCTGGAATTGCTACTACTGCAGGAAAGCAATACATACTTAAAATGTCCCTGCCCCTCTCACCACTCTTTCTGCCTTTCAAATCTCATGCAGTGGCATCCCAGTGATGGAACTTAAATCAATTCCAGAACCTCAATGTCAAGGGAGCTTTGGAAATATTCTTTATAGCCTTCTCAACTATAGGAAGTATTATAACACAGGAAAGAACATAGAAGGGGATAGAAATGGGTGCTAAGTGCAAACAGACAATATTTAGTGAAATCCCCAAGCAGATATTACATTGGGCAATGTGTGGGCATGTGATAATCATGGAGTCATTTAAAACTTACAAGTAGTTTAGGAACACTTAGGTAGGAAAAATAACTTAGATTTGCTTGCCCAGCATCCATTATCCATTTATATAAAAATATGCTTCTCTAGGATATTGGGCTACAATCAATGTCCTATACCCTTCTCTAGCCAATGTTGTGATCCATCCTGTCTAATTAATCTCAGTCTATCACTTTTCCCATCCTTCTCTCCCTTCTTTCCTCTTTCCCACTCTGTCTGTGTTTCTCATTATTTTTTGGTTTCAATGCTTCCCAAAGTTTCATTCTTCCCTAATTTTGCATGTAACTTTGTATCTTTTTGAAATACTTCTTTTTGCTTATGCTAGCAAGACAGTTCTGTTGCTAGCAACCAAACTTAAAGTGGAAAGAGTTTTTAGCACCTCTTTGCCCATCAGAAGCCAAGCAAATATAAACAGCCAGTTGTGAGAATATGTCCTAGGTTATCTAGAAGAGTTTTAAAGTCATGTGATTTTATTCTCTTTATTTTTAATTGAAGTATAGTTGATTTATAAATACACACACACACACACACACACACACACACACATATATGTATATATATTTAGGCTTCCCAGGTGGTGGTAGTGGTAAGGAACTCACATACCAGTGCAGGAGACAGAAGAGACGTGGGTTTGATTCCTCAGTCAAGAAGATCCCCTGGAGGAGGACATGGCAACCCACTCTAGTATTCTTGTTTGGGGAATCCCCATGGGCAGAGGACTCTCCTGGAGGAGGATATGGCAACCCACTCTAGTATTCTTGTTTGGGGAATCCCCATGGGCAGAGGACCCTGGTGGGCAGTCCACAGCATCACACAGAGCTGGACACAACTGAAGCAACTTAGCATGCATGCAGGGATGTACATGTACAAACACACTTTTTCAGATTTTTTTCCCTTATAGGTTATTACTATAAAATTCCTATATAGTATAGAATAGTTCCCTGTGCTATATAGTAGTCCTTGTTGGTTATCTATGTCATATATTTTTGTTGTTCAGTTGCTCAGTCATGTCTGACTCTTTGTGATCCCATGGACATCAGCACGCCAGGTTTCCCTGTCCATCACCATCTCCCGGAACTTGCTCAAGCTCATGTTCATCTAGTCAGTGATGCCATTCAACCATTCATCCTCTGTTGTCCCCTTCTCCTCCTGCTTTCAATCTTTCCCAGCATCAGGGTCTTTTCTAATGAGTCAGCTCTTCGCACCAGGTGGCCAAAGTATTGGCGCTTCGGCTTCAGCATCAGTCCTTCTAATGAATATTCAGGGTTGATTTCCTTTAAGATTGACTGGTTTGATCTCCTTGCAGTCCAAGGGAATCTCAAGAGTCTTCTCCAACATCACAGTTCAAAGCATGCATTCTTCAATGCTCAGCTTTCCTTATGGTCCAATTCTCACATCCACACATGACTACTGGAAAAACCATAGCTTTTACTATATGGACCTTTGTTGGCAAAGTAATGTGTCTGCTTTTTAATATGCTGTCTAGGTTGGTCATAGCTTTTCTTCCAAGGAGCAAGTGTCTTTTAATTTCATGGCTGCAGTCACCATCGCAGTGATTCCAGAGCCCAAGAATTTAAAGTCTGTTACTGTTTCCATTGTTTCCCCGTCTATTTGCCGTGAAGTGATGGGACCAGATGCCATGATCTTAGTTTTTTGAATGTTGAGTTGTAAGCCAGCCTTTTCAGTCTTCTTTTTCACCTTCATCCAGGGGCTCTTTAGTTCTTCTTTGCTTCATACGTAGCAGTGTGTATATATTAATCCCAAATTCCTAATTTATTCCTCCACTCCTTTCCCATTTGGTAATTATAAATTTGTTTTCTGTGTCTGTGGATCTATTTCTGTTTTTTATAAGTTCACTTGTATCTTTTCTTTCCCCTCAGATTCCACACATAAGCAATATCACATGCTATTTCTTTTTTTCTTTTTGGCATGGTTCACTTAGTATGATGCTCTCTGGGTCCATCCATGTTGTTGCAAATGGCATTATTTTATTCTTTTTATAGCTGAGTAATATTACTTTGTAATATCTTCTTTATCCATTCATCTATTGATAGACATTTAGGTTGCTTTCATTTCATGGCTATTGTAAATAGTGCTGCAATGAACATTGGGGTGCATGGATATTTTCAAACTCTGATTTTCTCCAGATACATGCCCAGAAGTAGGATTGCTGGGTTGTATGGTAGCTTTTTAATATTTTTTAAGGAACCTCTATAAATTAATTAGATATGTAACTAGTTTGTTTTGCTTATACTTAATAAAACTTTTCTATACCTGGCATCACAAATCAGAAAAGTTCTTTGTCAGTGTAGAAAACATAACCTCCAGAGCTTCATGTCACTTTGGGCACAAGAATAGACAAGGCATAGGTAAGCAGAACCACCAGCCAGATAAGCTAATGATTATTTCAGCTGCTACAAGGGCTAGGCATGGAAAAGAAGGTTGGAAAAGTAGCACTCTCTAGGAATTTTAATTAACATACAAAGATCTGACATTAGCACAAATCTGGAAATAAACTTAAGGAAAAGCGTCTCCTGTCTGCTACACTTCTTGAAATTCCCTCCTCTTAGGAGGGTCAGGCTTAAGGCTACATCTTCTGACCTGCTGAACAACAACGCAACAAAAACCCAGATCCACTGATATTTCCACATTGCTTAACATTTATTTTTTAGAGTTGTTGGAAGTTAGCAAATATTTGGCAAGGTTTCTGGACAAAATGGCACCAGATACTCTCTTGCCCCTTCTTGAATATTTGCTGATAGAAGGGGAAGGAAATTGCAGGACATTTTTCTAAGTACTGAACTTGGACATTGCCTGATTTAAGTGGGATGTGACAAATGAAATCCTTAAGATCCTCTAATAAAATATCTTCTTTATTCCATACTCTTTACATTACTCTAGAACCTCCAAGAGCCCTTGACATGTTAAACATAGCAATAGGTTTTTGTTGCCACAAAAGGCAATATAATTCTAATCACAGTAGCAGGTGCCGGATTCCCCATGTTGAGTCAGAGAGGTCAAGATTGTAGGACAAGGTCTGTGAACCTGATTCTAGATTCAGGCAGATCTGAGTTCAAATTCTAATGTCATCTAAACTTTAAAAATGACCTTTCATGAGCATTCTGAGTCTCTTGTGTGCATTCTCTCATTTAATTGAGACAACCATCTCATGAGACATGTAAATGACTTGCCTGTGGACATGCTGATTAATGGGGCAGCCAGGATTTAAACTCTGACTCCAGATCCTGCACCCTTAACCACTGTCCTCTATGGTCTTACACATGAAATGTAATATAACTTGGTTTCAGTTATACTTCCCCCCCTCCACCTTTAGAATTCCATGAACATGGTTCTAGTGTCTTCTGATGTTTATTATTGCAGTTTTTTTTTAAACTTTAAACTTTATTACGGTGTTTAAATGCCAGACTGAAAGAAGCAAACTACAGTCGACCCTTGAACAGTGAGATGAGGGGTGGGGTATGTTAGGGTTGCTAACTCTCTGCCCAGTCAAAAATTCACGTATAATTTATAGTTGGTCTTCCATATTAGAGGTTCCTCCTTTCCACTGGTCCACTTTGCAGAAGTATGAGGTCAGTCTTATTTGGATATATTTATAATTATTTTTTATTTATTTGCTTTGATTTAGTTTAATTTTGTTTTGGCTGCATCCTTAAATAATTCCCATTGTCTCAGAAACACAAAAGTTTTGTCAGGAGAAACATGGATGCTTTTTTTTTTTTTTCTTAATTTAGTTTAGATCTTAATGAATTCATTGTCCACTGGGTTTTTCTTTTTTCTTTTTTTTTCTTTTTTCTTATTTATGCAAAGTTTCTTTAGCTGTAACCCTTTGTTTCATGTCTTGTCCAGTTCTTCTAGTTTCTTATTCCACAATAGCAAAGCATCTTAGGTTCAATCTCTATTCTTATTCCTTTATCTGTACTATTCTTTTTCATTTTTTCCTCTAAATTTTGTGTAAACTTCTGAATGTTCTGATGTTCTGAATTAGATTTATTCTAGTGTTAATTTTGCTAATCATTAATTTCTGGTTATCATATTTTCTTTTGCAAGTAATATTTTATTAAAACACAGTCCTGGCTATTTGTTATGTATTGTTTTTGGCTGCTTTCAGATTACAATGACATAGTTGAATAGTTACAACAGACTATACACCCACAAAACCTGTAAAATTTACTATGTGACCCTTTATAAAAAAGGTTTGTTGACCTGAACATTTAAATAAGTGTCTTAATATCACTGAATATCTAGCAATATTCAGTTTTCCTTGATTGTGTTATACTTTTTAAATTGAGATATAATTGACATATAAAATATTAGCTTCCAGTGTACAACATAATGATTCGATATATGTATGGATTGCAAAATGATCTCAATAAGTCTAGTTAACATCCATCACCAAACATAGTTATAATCCCAGTTACCTCTTCATTATGCTGTAGAAGTTTCAATTTCCTTGAAACTATCTACATTTCACCAAGTTCATTTTAATTTCTTCTTTTTACTTTAGTGCTTTTTGCGTTTCATTTTAATAGTCTTTTAATCTCATTATGCTTATTACTTTCCAATTCATTTCAACAGAGACATGGCTCTTTATATCCTTTAGAGAACACCAATGGCTTTCTAAATATTTTCTAGTTTCTAGAGTAAATCATTTTCAGAAGTTTGCTGTTATTTGGAGTCTGCAGGATCATGGTTACTTTCCTTGTTCTACAGTATTTTTAAAAATTAGGCCTCATACGTTGGGGTTTTCTCTTTGAAGGCAATGGCAACCCACTCCAGTGTTCTTGCCTGGAGAATCCCAGGGATGGGGGAGCCTGGTGGGCTGCCGTCCATGGGGTCGCACAGAGTCGGACACGACTACAGCGACTTAGCAGCAGCCGCCGCAGCAGTGTCAAATGAGAAACTGTTCACATTCAATACAACATAGTAGATGAATTTAATAGGCTTCTTTGGCCCTCCTCACTGCTTATTCAGCCCCTCAGTCAAGGGGTGAGTGACAACTCCTACCAATTGGTGCTCCTTAGACATTTTCCTGGTGCCTCTCAGTTGGGACCACTTCATAGGTGGGATTGTCCCATCACAACTGTTGGATATGAGACACTATATTGGTGTAGTGTGTCATAATGGGTTCACTTGCTGACCTGAAACAGACTGCCAGATATTTCTCCAGAATAGACAGGTTTATTCAGGATCAATAGAGATTTGTAATTTGTGGTCTCCAATCATGGTGAGCCATGCTCAAGTCCCCCAGACAGCACGGGAAAGAGAACACACTTTTTATAGAAAGGAAAAGGGGGTTGGGAGGGCTATAGAAAACAAAGTGTCCATGGCTTCTCATTGGCTGAGTTCTTAGAGGAATCTTCCTTGCTGTTGAGTTCTAGTATCGTGGGGCATGAGAGCACCCCCTTCTGGTCTCTCAACTCTGACATTTCTGTATATTCATTTTTTACACACTTCCCAACACACACAACTACCAGGGAGCACCTCTTTCTGCTCCAACCTACATGACAGTACATTTCCAGGATTACATTTCAACAGATGCAAATACCACAGCCGAATTTAGCCATTCCTGCCTTCCTCACACCAACTTTATGCTCTGTCATTCCTAGGAGTTGTGATCTCTGCATAGACACAGAAAAGCAATATGAGGGTAAGTGTACTGGTTTGTAAACTTGGATGAGAGAAGGAGAGGAAGGAACTGTACTCAAGCAGATACAGAAAGTCGTACCTATGTAATTTTCTGGTTGTATAAGACTTGGGGCTTTCAAATCAAGGAGAAGACTGTGGTGAAGGGACAAAAGTATCTTCTGTTTTTGGCACTTTCCATAAGTAGTCAGGCAAAGCCTGGGGCACCAAGATTTTCCCAGATTCCATTGTTCGTAGCCAGTGGAGATTCTTTCTAGATTCTGACATTAGAGTGCCTATTAGTTTTTGCTTCTGGTATTTTTTTTTTCCTTGCCACCTCATTTGTTCATTGGAATTTTAATAAAACTAAATTTATTAAATTTAGTAAATCTCCTTCAGAGATGACATTTTATACAAAAGTCCTATATATTAACACAAAAACCAAAAGTCTAACCACAGCAAAAACTCAAAGTGGGGACTATTTTATAGAAACACCGTCGTGATCTTGATGATGTTACTTACAGGTGACATGTTTCTCTGTGAGTTTCATACAGGATTCACTCAAACGTGTGTGGTACTTCCTTCTGAAACTCATCCCCTTTCTTTACTTTGTGAAATGTATACTCTGGCCAAAATGGACAGTCTGTGGTTCTCCAAGCTTGTTATGTTCTTGCTTGCATTTGTATATTGGCAAACACTGCTCCTTCTGTCTCTGAGATTCTCCTTTCCACCTCTCATCTGATTGGCTCCTTCAAGTCCCACCAAGCTCAGCTGAGTATTTAGTAGTACCAAAGAGCCAGCTCTGTTCAGAGTGCTAGAATTATAGGTTAAGTCCCATGATTTGAAAAGTTAAATCACTGAAGCCATTCCCTTGAGAATCCTGCAATCTACTATTCCAACTGAGGGGCACAAAATATTCTAGGAGGTGGGTGGAAAGAAGACGGTGGAGACTGTTAGCCTGCAGGGGGCTGTATAGTCTGCTAGGGTTGCTATTAAAAAAAAAAGGGGGAGGGGGTCTTCCGTGGTGGCTCAGTTGGTAAAGAATCCGCCTGCAATGTGGGAGACCTGGGTCCGATCCCTGGGTTGGGAAGATCCCCTGGAGGAGGGTATGGCAACCCACTCCAGTATTCTTGTCTGGAGAATGCCCACGGACAGAGGAGCTTGGTGGGTTGCAGTCCGTGGAGTTGCAGAGTCAGACACGACTGAGCAGCCAAACTGAACTGAACTGGACACAGTCTTTTCTCTGTATGAGCCCATCCTTGGAGTCTCTCTATGTGTCTAAATTTCCTCCTTTTAAAGACACCAGTCAGATTGGATGGAGGCTTACTCTAATGACCTTATCTTAGTCATCTCTTTAAAGATCTTATCTTCAAATACATGGTCTAAAGGCTGGTAGTTAGGGATTCAACACATGAATTTAAGGGGGTACAAATTCAACCCATAATAGGAAGAAAGATTTAAAAAGTCCCAACTTTGGGGACAATTTACTTAAGGACTCTGAAAGTGAAAGTTGCTCAGTTGTGTTTGACTCTTTGTGACCCCATAGACTATACAGCCCATGGAATTCTCCAGGCCAGAACACTGGAGTAGGTAGCCTATCCCTAGACTCTGAACCTCATTTTATTCATCTGTGAGGTGGGTATAAAAACATTAATTCATGGGACTGTTGGAAATATAAAATGAGATAAGCCATGTAGAGCATGTAGCCCTATTTGTGAACATAGTAGGTGGAGATGCATCAATCCTTCTGAGTCAGGGGGTTATCTTGGTTCTTACTTAACTCAGCTGCCAGAAAAGCTCATCCACCTGCAGCATCTTTCTCTGCTTTCATCTTGCTAATCATGTATCCTAAATTGTATTCTTCTCACCTTCCATTTACCCATGAGAAGTGCAGTCTTTACTTGGTAGACAGGCAATAAACTCAAATCTAGACAAAAGGATTTGTCTTTTTTCATTTGACAGGTAGAAGTGTAATGTTCAGAGAAATGAGGGACTTGTCCATGTTCTCAAAACCAGTGCATATGACTGTTGGGATTTCCACCTAGGCCTGTGTGATTACAGAGCTCATGTTGCCTTTCTGCATAGATGGGGGCTGAAGGGGCAGTGGAGGTGCTCTACCAGTGAGGAGATGCTACCTGCAAGCCCTGGGGTTCCTTGGATCATACCTAATCCTGGAACTAAAGCCTCTTCACTTTTGTATTCATAACCTACACTTCTCCTGGGTCCTAGGGCAGGAAGATACTGAGTTCCTCAAAATCCAAACCCGTGTTCAGCACCAAGCCCAAGGTTAGAGCTGGCTATGAAATGCAGGCAGCTTGCCTAAAGCTCCTGTGCCTGGGCACTATCCTATAGGCCTTTAAATTTCATAGGACTTGTAGGAGAGTTGTTACAGTGTATTAAAAGCCAAGAATCTGAAGCTAGAGAGCCTGTTTTGACTTAGTCTTATTGATGAATTCATTTTTCAGTTACATCCTAGTTTTAGCTTCTCAGTGCCCCAGCTTCTTCATTTGAAAAGTAATAGTACCTATCTCATGAGGTAGGTGCAAGGATTAAAAGAGTTAATATTTAGAAAGCATTTAGAACATTGCCTGAGAATATAGTAAGCACTATATAAATGTTGGCTACTATACTACTACTAACTTTATTAGCAATATTACTATTAGAATTCTTACCCCATAGGAATTACAGGCTCTGGAAGAGAAGATTGGAATTAATGAACTCTTAAAAGCCAGATCTGGTTTCCAAGACCCAACTAATGGGCGGATTCATACCATACCTCTAATAGCTCACAATTTTCCTATTCCCTTACAATCTTCCTATTCCCATTAAAAAGTAATTGCTGAATTGGACACCTCATGTTTCCTTTAGTTCTTAAAATCCTCTGGTTGTTCCTGGGATTATCAGACCAGTCCTTCTCAACCTAATTGCACTCCCAATAACGGTCCAGATGTGTACGATAAGGTCTACTTGGGGCTGTGTCAATTGTGCCACTCTATTTATGAAGCCACCCATAGCAGCTTCATTATTTATCCCCTCCCCCGACACAATTTGGCTTGAGTGCCTATGTTTTAAACTGGGTTTGAAGCATTTAATTTTGCCAATACAATTTTAGAGTATTAGTTTGCCTCCTGTTCTCTCTCTGCTCTCCTTAATTACCATTTATTGCAAAGTCACACAGAAACATTAAATGCTAATTCTGACTTACACGTTCCTGGCCAAGAACTGGGATAATAATTTTCATCCAACACAACCTGAATTCATTTTACATAAGGGTGATTCAGAGTAGAGATTTGAAATCGTAATCAAGTCTTTCTCAAAATCGCCTTACTCTGGCAGTCATTCAGTAATGTCTTTGCTAATTGGTAGGCAAATGGCAAAAAACAAAATCTCAATGTTAAAACACAACACACACACACACACACACACACACACACACACCACTCAAACAGACATACAAAACAGCGTTGCTGCAGCATGCTCAAAATTGTTCCTCTCATCAGCTCTTGCAATCTGACAGTTAGAAAAGAACACAACTCATTTTATTTGGTTAGATGGGGCTAATCCCACATCACCATAATCCCTCCTGATGTTTTATTGATTTTAAAAGACATTTAATCAGGAAGCAGCTCAGCACTAGAATCCTGCTAATTAGTAAGCAGCCACATTCCAAATGGGTTCCCAACAGAACAGCAGATTAATGGACAATATGTACTAAAATAATGATTCATGCATTCAGCTTCTAAAATGTATGTCTAAATTGCATCTATAATCTCTTAAGGATATAGGTTTGCATACAAAGCCCTTAACGGAATGAATTTAATTCAACAGAAGAGCTTTAGCCAATGACTGTTTAAGGATGAAACAGGTTTATCACTTATAAATGCAATTCTTCATTGGCCTCATGGTTTTGATGTCCTTGAACATTCAAAGGTCAAAGATAGGTGAATAAAAAATCAGTGTGCTTCTCTGATAATACACATACAATGGTAGGAAGTTGAGAATTTTGATATAATAAGTAGCCTAACCTCATTTGTTCTCTTTCACTCTTATTCTCATACTTCTGATTCCTGGAATCTTCGTCCTGGACCCGAACTTCTGTCAAGTATACTGAGTATAACATGAACTTTGACACTTGCACTTTCGCCTTTTATACCAGGGTCTTGTGGGAGTCTCAGTTTCAGTTTATTGATTTTCTACTCAGACCTTAGTCCACATTTTTGCTTTTCCTGCTTAACCACCTCCCTCACCTTCACCCGACTACCTCCAACATTGTACAGAAGGAAAACTCCCATGTCCAAAACTGATCTAATGGAAATTCATTGGCTAGGCTCAACCTGCTATTTATCACTTGATGTTCTCATAACTTTTATCACCATGTGATATGTCACATAGTCTACTTTATTTATAGTTTCTCTTCTCCTTTAGAATAGAAGCTTCATAAGGGAAGGGACTTTGTTTTATTCATATCTATATTCCCAATGATTAGAATAGTAATTGGTACACAGTAGGCACTCTATAAATATTTGTTAAATGAATGAATAAATGGATTAATCAAATATTTACCCTGTGTCTATCACGTACCAAATACTGGCCTACAAGATGATGGCATATAATGTGTCATGATCCTTGCCAGCATGGAGATCACTATCTAGTCATTAAATTAACAAGTCACACAAATAAATACATAATTACAAATAGTAATAAGTGATAGGAAAGAACATCACTGAATGCTAAGAGAGCATATAGCACAAAGAACATTATTTTGATGAGATGGTTAGGGAAGGCCTTCTTCAATTTGACCATGAGCTAAGGATTAGGGAAAATTTATGTATCTGCATTCCTCAGTGTTTTGAAACTTTATTCTTCCCCTAGTTCAGTTCAGTTCCATAAATATTTGTTAAATACCTACTAGGTGTCAGGTACTGCTCTATATACTTGGGATACATCAATAAATAAAGTTTCTGCCTATCCTATGGCACTACAGTCTATAGTCTATTAACTTATAACAACAATAAACATCATACACCAGTAAATTACCTAGTACATTAATCGTTTGTAAGTGTATAGAAGGAAGCAAAAGGGATGCAGGTTAAGGGGAAGAAAGGATGGGGGGACCACAACTTAAATGTGTTTAGTGTAAGCCTATAAACAAGGTAACACTGGGCAAACACTTATAGAAGGTGAAGGAGTTAGCATGAAGATATTTGGGGAAAGAATATTCTAGGTTGAGGAATCATTCAGAAGATAGGTACTAAGGTGGATGTGTGCCTGGTGTGTTTGAGGAAGAAGAGGAGAACAGTGTGACTGGAACAAAATGAGCAAACGAAATTGTAGATGGAGCCAGAGAAGTTGAAGAGGGCATATCGTGTAGAACCCTTTGTGAGGATTTCAATTTTCTTTTTCCTTTGAGTGAAATAAGGTGCTCTTTCAGTGTGATAAGCAGAGCAGTGACATTAACTGTTTCAGGCTTTAATAGGCCGCTGTAGCTTCTGTACTGAGGATAAACTAGGGACAAGGGAAAAGGAGAATTCAGTTAGGAGGCCATTATAATAATCCAGGAGAAACATAATGGTAGCTTGGATGGGGTGTAGTTAAGTAATAATAGAGGTGGTGAGAAAGGAGCAGGATCTTGACATAGTCTCAAGATAGGGTTGATTTACTCATGAACGACTGATGGATTGGATATAAAATGCAAGGAAAAAAAAAGATAAAGGTCACTGGCGGGTTGTGTTTTCATTTGAATTCTGTTTAAAATATTGTTAATTTCCCTTGTGATTTCTTCTTTGGCCTTTGGTTACTTATAAAGTGTATTGTTTAATTTCATAATGTTTGGGGGATTCTGGGATTTTGCTTTATTTTTGGTTTGTTTTATTTTTGCTTTTTGATTTCTAATTTATTTATTTTGTGGTCAGGAAACATATTTTATATGATTATTCCTTTTAAATTTACTAAGACTTGTTTTGTGGCTCAGGATAGGGTTTATCTTTTAAATATTTCATGAACACTTAAAAAGAATCTATATTCTGCTGTTGTGTGGAGTGTAATTGCCACTTACATCAAGTTAGTTGATAATATAGTCCAAGTTTTCTATCAGTTCAGTTCAGTCACTCAGTCGTGTCTGACTCTGCGACCCCATGAACTGCAGCATGTCAGGCCTCCTGTCCATCACCAACTCCGGAGTTTACCCAAACTCATGTCCATTGAGTTGGTGATGCTATCTAACCATCTCATCCTCTGTCGTCCCCTTCTCCTCCTGCCCTCAATCTTTCCCAGCATCAGGGTCTTTTAAAATGAGTTAGCTCTTGGCATCAGGTGGCCAAAATACTGGAGTTTCAGCTTTAACATCAGTCCTTCCAATGAACACCCAGGACCGATTTCCCTTAGGATGGACTGGTTGAATCTCCTTGCAGTCAAAGGGACTCTCAAGAGTCTTCTCCAACACCACAGTTCAAAAACATCAATTCTTCTGTGCTCAGCCTTCTTTACAGTCCAACTCTCACATCCATACATGACCACTGGAAAAACCAAGTTTTCTATAGTCTTACTGATTTTCTGTCTACTTGTTTTTGTCAGTTACTGACAGAAATATGTTCAATTCTCTAAATAAAATTGTGAATTTATCTATTCTGCCTTCCAGTTTTATGTTTTTAATTTATTAACTTGAAACTATGTTATTGAGGGCATGAACATTTAGGTCTGTATGTCCTTTTGATGAACTGAATTTCTGGTAATACCCCTTGATTTAGAATCTACTTTGTCTGACTTTAGTGTAACCATCCTAGTTTATTTTTCATTCATACCAATTAGTATGGTATATCACTTTCCATCCTTTTACTTTTACTGGGTCTGCCTTTATATTATAAAAGGGTTCATTTCAGACAGCATTTAGTTGGGTTTTGCTTTTTAAATGAAATCTGAAAATTGCTGCGTGTTAATTGGTGCTTTTGAACCATTAATACTTACTGCAATTATTGATATGATTGGATTTAAATCTATCATTATTTGCATTTATTTTCTACTTGTCCTATTTGTTTCTTGTTTTCTTTTCCTTCTTTTTTTGGTCTATTCTCAGTAGTTACGTGTGATTATTCTCTATTTAAATTATTCTCTATTTAAACTTCTCTATTAGTATTTTTGGGCCTGCCAGGTGTCTAAGTGGTAAAGAACCCAGTTCCCAATGCAGGAGACTGCCTGCAATGCAGGAGACCTGGGTTCAGTCCCTGGAAGATCCCCTGCAGAAGGAAATGGCAACCCACTTCAGTATTCTTGCCTGGAAAATCCCTTGGACAGAGGAGTTTGGTGGGTTACAATCCACAGTGTCACACAAGAGTTGAACATGACTTAGTGACTAAACAACAACAATTCATATTTTTAACTGAATACACTCTTCCTTCAACCAAAATTATACTACTTAGCTGACAGTATACAGGTATTTTCATAGTACACTTTTATTTCCCCTCCCAGTATTTTATGCTGTTGTCAAATGCTGCCCTCTATTATGTTACAAATTCCACAGTACATTGTTATTATTATCTTAAACAATTGATTATTAAAGAGATTTTTTTTTAAAATAAGGAAATTGTATTTTTATTCATTGACATATTATGTCCAATACTTTTCATCTCTTTCTGCCAATTAAAAATGATTATTTTCCTTCTGCGCAAGGCCTTTTTCTTTTTACTATTTCTTGCAGTACTGCTCCGATGGTTATGAATTCTCTCATCTTTTGTATGTGTAGTCTCCTGCATTTCAGGTGAACTCTTTACCATTAGCACCACCTGGGAAGTCCTTGTATGTGTAAAAAACATCTTAATTCCCATTAGTTTTTGAAAGATAGTTTTGGTGGATGTAGGATTTCAGGATGATCATTTTCCTTCAATACTTTAAGGATGTTATTCTACTGTCTTCTTGTTTATGTTTCTAATGATAAATCTGTTATAATTCTTATCTTTGATAAATCTGTCATAATTCTTATCTTTGTTGCTTTTTATGTAATTTGTCATTTTCCCTTGTGCATTTAAGCTTTTTAATTTACTGCTGGTTTAAGCGATCTGATTATAAGGAATCTTGGTATGGTTTACTTCAAATTCCTTATATTTGAAGTTCATTAAACTTCTTAGGTCCATGTCTTTATAGTTCTTCTCAATTTTGGAAAATTACAGCCATTATTTTTTCAGCATCCTTTTCTTTCCCTCTATTTGCCTTATCTCCTTCTGAGACTCCAGTTCCTCATGCATTAGGCTTGACTATAGCACAGTACCATTTTGAGGACTCTAATCCATCCCACATGTGTTCCTCTATGACTGGTGGAAATTGTAACTATTCCCAGCTCTGAGATCTAAAAATTTCTCCACTTTTTTTCTCTTGATGTCTCTTTTGCTGGCCTTGGGTAGTTTCCTCAAATGCATACATTAGCCAAGTTTTCACATAAAGACTTCAGGGTAACTGTTTGGAAGTCTCCAAAAAGGACTCTTAGAGTATCTCGCCTCTTTGCTACTTTGTGCCAAGTCTTCTAGACTTCTTAGCCTTCCTGAACTTCATACTGTATTCCTTTAGCTCAAGAAGAGTGCTGGGCTAAGTTTGGAGTCCCCTTTCTTGTTCAGTAAACTGAGCTTACCTCATTCCCTTCTCTCAGGAATCACTGTTCTGTGCTTCCTGATGTCCAAAGTCATCCAGAAAGTATCGCATCATATGTTTTGTCCTACATTTTAGTTGTTTAAAATGAAATAGTAAATCTGACTTGCCATTTACCAGCAAACTGGAAGTGGAAGTTTACTGCTTTCATTTTTCTATGGCCAAAAGGATCCCGTGATCTTAATATAAACAAACATCTATTAACTCTGTGTTTAGGTAATAAATTGATTGTTTCACATACAAAACTTTAGCCTAGAGACAGACTTATGTATTTGGTATTCTAATAAAGGACTGTGTAAATAAAAAAAATCAACTTACTTTATTTCATCTTGGTAACCCAAATCTTGATGGCTAAGCAATGTTTCCAAAAGACTCAAAGTCAGATATAATCCATGTTTCCCACATATAGCCCTGACCTGCAAATAAGAAAAAGATTTGAAATTTCAATATAATTAAATTGATTTGAATTTCATTCCCATTATTAGAACTTACATAATTTGGACAAAGAATGAATAACCAGGAGTGGAGTATACCACTAGGATAATATTTAGGACAAGAATGTTCAATGGACTGCTCATCAACAGCAGATTTTTTATGCTTGACACAGAGGCATAGTTCATTACTCAGAAGCCACTGTACTTTGAAATGCTGATCTTACATTTTTGACAGCTATAGAATGAGTGGTCAAGGCCCAGAAATTATACACACTTATTATATAGGTGAATCACAAAGTGTTTTTTAATACTGACTTTGATTTACAAAAGAATCTTGTTTTATCTTATATATGAGGAAACCAAGACTTAGATTGACTTTCTCTATGTCACATGGTTAATAAATGATGGAACTTAGTCTAGAAACCAGATATTCAATTAATATTTGTTGGATGGATGAATGAAGGGTCACTGCAACTTCCTGAGTACTTAATGTTTTCTGAGTCTAGCCAACAAACCAGTTCAGTTTTCAAGTTGGTGGATGTGCGATACTTAGATTCAAACACACCAAACTTTTAGGCTGTGATAGTCTTTGTTGTGTGTTTAGCATACTGTTTAAACACAGAGTCTTAAGAATAAAGCATGATATATTTTGAACACTGGAAATGCTGTGTATGATTTGTGTGATCTCAGGAAGTTCCTAAATCTTTTTATGTCCAATTACTTCACCTACTAAATAAGATTAGTATTTTCTACTTCTCAGAAGTAAGTAAGCAGTTAGAATAAGGCCTGGATTTTAGGAGGCATTTGACTAACATATGTTGAAATCAAGAAAAGAAGGAAAGGAGGGAAAAGGAAGAAAAAGGGAGATAGAGGAGAGAGAGAAGAGGGGAGAGGGAAGAAAAGAGGAGAAGGGGGCTCAAGAGCACAAGAAAGAGACAGAGTGGGAGAGAGAGAGAAACGAGAGAAGGAAGGAAGAGGCAAAAAAAGAAGAAAAGAAAGGAAATGTTTTATTTAGTGTTTAGACTAATTGTAGCTACTGTTGTTATTTTGAGAGGAAGTTCCACATAGTGACTGTATTATGCGTGTCTTTTTAATCTGCTGCTTGGCCATCATGGGGCCCTGCTGACCCTGGAGAAACTGCCTCTTCCAGGGCTAGCCAATTACTAGAGATAGTAAAGGACTTAACCTGAAAGGCTGTCTTTCACCTGCAAACCAACTACCTCTTTTATTGAGGTTTTCACACTTGGCACACTATTTCCGGGTCCTGATTACTCCAGGGCCAAGTACTAGGCGACTAGCAATGGCGCCTGTGCCCCAGAGCCCACTGAAATTATTCAAACTAGCCAATCCTAAGCCTTCTTATCCTGCTTCATCTCCCCACAGTAAATGCTCTTGCCCACACTTTCCCCTCATCCCCTCTGCTTCCTGACCGGCTCTGGGGCTTCACCATGTGGCCCACGTGGTGTCTGTGCCCCTCCTCCTGGGAACCGTGAGGAACACTGTCTTTTCAATGGCATTCACCTCCTGATCTGTTGGTCTGACCATACGTGAATAATATAACCTACATTTTGATACAGTGACAAAAGCCTAATGTTCATTTGTCTTTTTGGAAGGAAACAACCAGTCTGGGTTAGAAAGCTGTTACTAGCTGTAGAGGAGTACCTCGGGGAAGGAGAAAGACAGATATAAAACATGAAAAAAAGGGATAACAGTTTGCCAGAAAAGTAAGGAGTTGAGGATAATTCCAGCAGAAGAAATGTATCTGTAAATAATGGGTGAGAAAGAGCACTGTGCTTTTTAGAAACTACACTCTACTATAGTTTTATACCCCTTTTCACTGAGCAGTAAATATCTATTCCTTAGAACATCTCTAAAAGACTGGTTTATTGAGGGTTGGATTGCGTTTCCTTCATTTTCTTATCACCATTGCCAAGCACAGTGTTGAAAATTACTTTAAAATTTTTTTTAGTTCTACCACTGTATTGCTACCAACCATCTCCCTCCACCCTCGTGCACACATGCTCAGTCGTGTAACCCCGTGGACTGCAGCCCGCCAGGCTCCTCTGTCCATGGACTTTTCCAGGCAAGAATACTGGAGTGGGTTGCCATTTCCTTCTCCATGAAAATTACTTATTGAATAAATGAATATATAGATGAATTAGGAATGAATGAATTATTTAAAAGTACCGAAGGTAAAGGCATAGGTTGGCAAAAATAGAGTGGTAGAAATTAGTTATATTATGCCATTTTACTCAATAAATAAAAATCAACTTATCCTCATGATTAGAGCATATTAATGTATTTTTAAACATCAGTATTAACAGGTTATTCTAAAAACAGTTTATTTACTTCTGGCAACATTGAGTTTTGCTCTAGGCTAAATGAAAAGCAGATTAGAAATAGTACATCAGGGTTCCTAGAAGTAGATTGATTGATAGCTGCTATGAACTGAATGCTGACAGTTGTGGAAGAGCAATAGAAACATCTACCAGAAAACCCTGGCAATTTAGTGTTATCTAGCATTATTTTTAAAATCCATGAATATTCATTATGATGTCCTTATTCAATAAGAAAATGTTTGGTTGTATATCGTTTCTTTGGTTCTGTAAGGGCATTTAAAAATCTAATGTAAATAAAATACCTATGTTATTTAGAAAATGGCAAGTAAAATAAATATTCATTTCCTCAAAATGCTCCTGGAAAGACTGATGCACAGATGCTCTCCCTACTTCCTTCCCATTTATGGCTTCATTTGCATTTTACCCCATCACTCTACTTAAATTGTGTTTACCAAATCATTAGTAACTCCCGAAGTTTTACATTTAATGAATACTTGTCAATCCCAATTACAGATGATCTCTTTGCAGCCTGTGACATGGGTGATCTTGCCATCCTTCCGTAAGTCTCTTCTCTTGGCTTTCTTGATGACTCCCGTGTCTCTTTTGATTATTTTTGGTCTCTTTTCTTGGCTTGTCTTCATCTACCTGCTCCTTAACGACAGGTGTCCTCCTCAACCTTCCCTTCTTACCTTCTACTATGTCCTTGAGTAATCCTAATTACTCCCAAAGCTTCAGCTCCATAGTGAAGACCCTTACGTCATTATTTAGCTTTACTCTCTCAAGCTACATCAACATGCTCAGAAGTGAACTCATCATCCTTTCCTTTGGCTCCCCAAACTCCTTTTCTGTTTGCTGTCTTAGAGAATGGTACCACCATCTAGTAAAAGTTAGAACCTTGGGAGCCATCTTTCATTCCTTCTAATTCAGGATCTATGTCCAGTTAAGTCACCAAGACCTGCTTTTCTACCTCCTTAATATCTCCATCCCTCCTGCTACTTTCCTGGTTTAAATTCTCATAATTTCTTGCTTGAATTACTGGAACAGCCTTTTAAAGTTTCTCTCTGTCTCTAATTCTCTGTTATCTATTAGAGTGCTCTTTTCAAATTTCAATTTTGATCATATTGTTCACTTGTTTAATATTCTTCAATGATTCCACCAGAGCTTCAGGATAAAGTCACACTCCTTAGAAAGACCCTTCAGAAACTGGTTCCTCCAACCATTCTAACATCAACTTGAGCAGCATCTCCCACCGTCCCCAGTCACTGTACACTCATATACTCATTTGCCTATGTGAGTAGTTTAGCATTCCCTGAACTAACCATGTTCTCTTTCATCTCAGTAACATTTCACATTGCACCTTTTACCTAGAAAACCTTTCCTGTCCCTTCTTCTGCCCTACCAAAATACTTTGCCAAATTATTATGTCCTCTAAGATTCAGGATTTGCTTTATCTCCTCTGGAGTTTTTGGGTGAGGCTAGGTTGTTATTCCTTCTCTGTGTTCAAAGTTACTGCCACCAACGTATTTGTCATACAAAATTGTAACACGTTTTAAATACGACCTTTTCCCTGAGCTCCTGGAGAACTCTGGGATTGAAATCATAATCGTGTGTTGTCCTCAGAGCCTTATCACACTGCCCAGAACACACTGTGTGGTTAGTATGTTGAATGCAAGAATAAATATGCCATATTGATCAGAAAGATGGTGATTGGTTTGGAAGTAGGGAACAATCTGAAACTAGTATAAATCATTTATATTTTAGGGCAGAAGGTACTGATGGAGAAACAACAAAACACAAAAAAAGGAGCCTGGCCAACTGCAGAAGAATGTCTTACAGTTTTGGTCACTTGGTAAACTAGTATCATAGCTGTAGTCTTGCCAAGGGAACAAATTTCACATTCCTAAGCCCCTGTTCACTCAGTAATGGGATTCCCTCCTGATGATAGTGAGGAGGTTGCATGAACATCAGGCAAAGGGTAATTAGAGGTAGAATAACCTGTGTTCTAGCAGTTCCTCCTAGCAGGAAGGTCTGGGAGTAGTTTGGAAGGGCTTTGCATTATAGAGCAGAAAGGAGTTCAGAACATAAAGAATATGGATTATGTATGAAAGTGTTAAACTGAACCTCTATGCTTGGAAACTTCTTAGGTTCCACAGCCTATTCAATTCATGAACGAGAAAGTGCAACTGTTGATCATCCAACTCTTTTGTGACCCCATGGACTGTTATGCACCAGGCTCCTCTGTCCATGGAATTTTCCAAGAATACTGGAGGTGGGTAGCCATTCCCTGTTTCAGGGAATCTTCCTGACCCAAGGATCAAACCCAGGTCTCCTGCATTGCAGGTGGATTCTTTACCATCATACCTGATATGAATAATGGCCAGGGAAGTTAATAAATAAATGTATGTGGATCCACATTGCCCTCAGGAGTCCTTCCTGAGCCATCATTGAATGAAGGATGTGACAGAAGGACAGAATGAGTGAGTCCACAGAACAAGGATGACAGATATGAGATAGGTTTTTATACTGTCCTTTGAGAATGGGGACAGTGCAATTGATTTGAGTGATAGGACCCATAGATCATCCCTCAGAACAGCTGTAAGTTATCTGAGGAGGTACAGGTGATCTGTGAACCCTCTGAAATACTGGCTGTGAGCATGTGCTCTTCTCCCCCTCTGAATACAGGGTGCATAGGTCTCATGGGAAACTTTAGAGGGTCTGAGATCCTCTCCCTTCTGCCGTTTAGAACTATTGATCAAAAAGAGAAACAGTTCAGATGGCCTTTCCCAGTCACCTCTGAAGTCCTGTGTCCAGCAACAAGGATGTTGGGGTGCAACTGCTGCTGCATGTCATATCCAGTGTCCATTGGGCCTCAATTTATCTCACATTCTGGGGAAACACAGTTCTATTTGCCATGCCTCCCAGAACTGTAATATACTTTGAGTGAATTCCAGATGTCTTAAGAGATGCCAGATGGCTCATGAGAGGCAGACCAGCTTCAAGAAAAATGTGCCCCATTTCCTTCAATATGATCCACAAATTTAAGCTTTCAGGGCCAGCTGTGGGGGGAAGACATTCAGAGCCTTCTCTGACAGCCAGCACTCCATGTGGCCATCACTTGACCCTGGGAAAGAGCCCACTTCCTTAGACTATTTTGCAGCAGTAATTTCACCAAACATTGATTTTAAAATATATATATATGTATATATAAGGAAGGGAAACCTATTTCCTGAGTGCCTCACATATCAAACAGTATACTAAGTGCTTTCACATACTTATCTTACTTAATCCTCACAATAGACACAGGAGGTAGTTATTTGGAGCCAACTTTTTTCTAGATGGAAAATCGGAGACTCAAAGAGCTTAAGCAAATTTATTTTGATTTTCAAGTCATTCATATTCCATTCTACAAGTGTCATCTGAGAACATTCAAGCTTCACTGATACTATTATGTATTTTCTAATCTGACAAAAAGTGATTCCTGCTTAGTCAATTTCTGCTAATCTTCTCAAAAACATAATAAAGGCCATTTATGATGTGTGGAATCTCCTGTAATGTTCTCTCTCCTAGTGAAACATGCTTGCATGTTTAATATTCATGTATACAACACACACGCACACACACACACATACACACTATCATGTGACTTTGCCTTTGCATGGTTAGTTGACTGTATAAATGAAAAAGTACATAAAAAGCTACTTCTGTCATAGAATAAGAATCCACTTTTAGCATATTGTGTCCTTGGTTTCTTAGTAAACATCACTTGCTTTTTTGAATTCTCTGACTCTCAATTCTTAATTCCTGTTTACCTGGATGAAAGGCATTTTCCAATCTTTGCTTCAGGACCTTTATTTTCCCCTATAAATTACAATCCTTTCTCCTCCTCTGGAGTTTTAATTCCTGTATCCTCGACTCAGTGAAATCTTCCAGCTATCATCTGCCTACTGGAGTTCCAATTCTGTCTCTCAGTGTCCAGTATTCTTCTGTATTTGAATCCTGGCTCTGTCTCTTGCTAGCTGTGGTCCTTGAGAGATTCATTTGTCTTCTCTGAGAATCAGTGGTTTATTTCATTTATTAAATGGCTATTATAACATCTACCTAGATCTTATACTTACCTGTAAATGTTAAATGAGTAAATATAAGTAAAACATTTAATGTAGTATTTGGCAGTTTAGGAAGAACTCAGCAAAACTTGGTGGTGCAAGTTGCTGTGAATGGAATTGCAGTCAATGTGGTCACTATTATTTTACCTGTATCCAAGGTAACCTCATGACTGGAGTTTGTTTGGCTAAATACAACACATGAGTTAATATGGTTCTGGATCCTCTTTTATGAAACATATCTACCCAGTTAATTAATGCTCCCAAATAGCATTGCTAATCTCTGTCAGCAATAAACCACATCAGTCCCTACAATTTTGGTGTCCCTAAAGAACAGAGTGCCGCCTGCTGACCTCACGGGAAGCTGGTAGAGGTTGTGATAAATGAACACTTATCCTTGGAAAAAAATATTTGTTTTCCACTGTGAAATATTGTTTGGATATTGTCATACTGTCTATTGTTAGCATAAAACAGCCCAGTGTAGGTAATTCCTGGATCAATTTGGCATATTTCACAATTCTTTACTCTTGGTTTTGTCCTCTTGGATGCAGAAAATAATTGTGAAATGTAATCCACAGGCAGAACACAGATCAAAACTAGGCCTTTTTTTAGATTTGAATTTTCATTTCAGTGTCTTTTGATCCCTTTACAATTTATTTTTAAATATAATTGTATTTATTTGTTTTTGGCTGTGCTTGGTCTTCATGGCTTTCGTGTGGGCTTTCTCTAGCTGCGGTGAGAGCGGGCCACTCTCCACTGTGCTGGGTAGCCTCCTCAGTGCGGTGGCTTCTCTTGTTGCAGGGCACGGGCTCTGGGGCGTGGGGCTTCAGGAGCTGCTGGACGTGGGCTCAGTAGTTTAGGCTCTTGGGCTCCAAAGCACAGGCTCAGCAGTTGTGGTACATGGGCTTAGGGATGTGGGATCCTCCTGGACCAGGGATCAAACTCATGTCTTCTGCATTGGCGGAAGGTGGACTCTGCCACTGAGCCACCAGGGAAGCCCTGATTTCAAAGTTTCTATTAAACAAGAAATGGCCTGATTTCCAAAGAGATGGCCAATTTATTACAAAAGAAATTAGAGGTAAAAACAGGAAAAGGAAATCTTTACTATAAACATTCTGTTTTCTTTACCTCATTATTTTCCTCTTAGTTGATTAAAATTTGGGAAGGGACTATTAGACTTACATAATAAATACTGAACTTACATAGTTAAAATTTTCCTAGAACCTACATAATTAGTATATATGCACTCCTACTTTCAAAGCTAGCCAGTTATGGATCTCAGTATGTTTATTCTTAGTGAACTGCACCTTCTTACTATAGACCCAGTGCCCCAAGATAGCCTTCTGGAGATGAATGAGTCTGAAATCTAATTTAGGTTACCTTGGGTGGGGGCAGGCAGCCAGAGAATGAGCGATCTTCTTTTCGAAAACTCAGATTGAGTTTCTCTATGCTGAGTTTGGCCTTGGTTGCCCTCAGTGCCATCTTCAGGATTTCCAACAGGCTCTCATTCACTTCTGACTGTGAGTTGTAGTCTTGAGGGGCGATACTGCTTGGAGAAGCAGGAGAAAGGCTGTGAAAAGATGATTTATTCAAAGCTGCTGTATATTTTCATACCACATCTCTTACCCCTGCTATACACCGTGGAACCAAAGAACCCACCCAGCAAGGACTCCTAAATCTTGGTAACCTCGTCATGGGACTGCATGTGGAGATTGCACAGGTCAACTAAAGTTTGTTCTAGTCTAGTGAGTTCCACATTCTCTTCTCTCAGAGGTACCAATCCATTCAACTACATCATAGACTAAAACTTGTAATCTACTAATTTTTTTTTCCAGGTGAGGAAAACTTAGAATTGACCATAGCAGTTCACTTACCTATTTATTTTATTAATACTTTTTGTAAGTCCTGATAACTATTGATAGCAAATATCAATAGCAGTTTGATAGCAAATTCCCAAAGTGTCCATTGCCACAAGCAAAGCAGATCCTATCAGATCCCTGTAGCCAGGGAAGCTATCTAGAAGGAAATCTTGAACCAGGTAAACTTGCTTCATTATCCTTGACTCTGCTCTTTGAATCTGGAAAATCCAGAAAATGTTTGGGAACAATTATTTACTTACTGTCTGGCATGCAAATATATATAGTTACTAAGATGGTGTATCTGTTTGTTGTTTCTTTAAATAATTGGTGAGAAACAACAAGGTGATTAAGTATTATAGTCATTTATTTTATGAAACTACTTTGAGGTGTTTACTCATTTAGCATTCCAGTGTATGTGTCCTTCCAGATCCAAGCTGTGCTGTCTCCTTCAGAGTGAAGCTTTTCCTGTTTCCTCTGTTTCAACTTACTCTCCACTTCTCTAAACAGACATTCTATCACATCTCCCAAACTCCATTCATGTAAATCAGTTTCCTTTCAGTGGCATGCTGGTAAATCATTAATGACCAGCTCTCCAAGATAAAGCCGTAATCTGTAGCCTTATTAATTTTCATGGTGAAAAACTCCCACCGTGGTCAGTTTCCAGTTGCCAGGATGATGTCTCTGAGTGAGGCACTGGGAACTGAGGTTCACAGTCAGCCCCCCCTAGTGCTCCTGAACTCCCTGCTTGAGAAACTCTTTCAAATTTCCTTGTTCTTTTCCTGTAGTAAGTTTCCCTCAGGTTGCGATTGCTTCCTGATTCTTTTAGCTGTTGTTTTCTGTCTGACCTCCCTTGCAAACTGTTCTGTAAGATGTGGGCTGAGTCTGTTTTGCACCTGTATCTGTGGATCTTGTACAGATTGGCTTTGCCAATCTGATATATCTGTTCCAGATTTGAATCAGAAGGTTTCCTTCCTGTTTGCTTTTCTTGTAACACCAGTTTCTGTAGGAAGGAATTAATAAGAAAGACTTTGGCCCTCGGCTCAGCACACAGAGTCCTGAATGGGAGGTTTTATATGGAGCCCATTTACTACAGCTGGTGGATTTCATAGAAAAACCTGCTGCAGGAGTTTACTTCATCTGGTCCAACTTAGGTGATGAAAGCTGTTGCCTCTGGTGATGCTGGAGGCATTTTAAATATCATAGAGCTGTCCCACATAAAGCTCTACTTGACAGAACATGGGAGGGACTTTTTCTGAGCTGTACATTAATTAATAAAGAGCCTGGATTCATTACAGGCCATCAGTCCGGCACTTCCGCAAACACACTGTCTGGTTTATATAGAGCAGCACCTTCTCTGATGAATTAAAAATGATACGTTATGGACCTTTTTTATATAGTAGATATCCAAATGTTCCTGCAAGTGAAATAATGCAAGCTCTTTGGATAATTGGAGGTGCCGATGACATTCCACAGATATTTATTGAGCATCTCCCATGTGCCAGGAACTATGCTAGAACTATGCTGGACACTGAGTTGGCCAGGAAAGACACTATTCCTTACCTCAAATGTCAAAGAAGTAATTATAAGCACAATGACTACTATAAAAAGAAAGGGCTATGAAGTTATACAGCAAAGAGATATAACCTAGTCTAGGGCTCAGGAAAGGCTTCCTGTCTAGGATTCATGAGACCCATATCTGCCAGTAAGTGGCCATTTGTTCTGATGCATCATCTCCTACTTCTCAGGTTGCAAATCTCACTATCTGTACTATATGAAGTATGGCTGCTGATTATTAAATATTGCTAGGGATTTATGGCTCTCAGCAGGGAAGTTGCTCCAAGTGATAGTTGATGGTGTACCCATATGGCAGCATCACTTTTTTGGACTGTGAGCCCCTGAGGGAGAGACTGGGCCTTGCCAATCTCTGAATTCACTGTGCTCAGCAAAGTGTGCCTGGCAAGCAGCTGGCATTCAATGGATGCGTGTAGAATGAAGTAATGCAATCAAAAAGGGCACAGTGCACATTGTAGAAAGGAATCAAGTCTATCACTTGGTCCAGGGACATTTTTATAGGAAACCAGGCCTTTTTACTAGAGTGAAGTGATATGCCGTGGCTCTTAACCACTGTGTCACATTATTTGGAACTGGAAAGGATGTCTTCTGGTAGTAGTAATAGCACTATTAGTTGCTCAGTTGTATTTGACTCTTTGCAACCCCATGGGCTGTAGCCTGCCAGGCTCCTCTGTCCATGGAATTCTTCCGGCAAGAACACTGGAGTGGGTAGCCATTCCCTTCTCCAGGGGATCTTCCTGACCCAGGGATCTAACCTAGGTCTCCAGCATTGTAAGCAGACTCTTTACTATCTGAACCTCCAGGGATAGTTTCAAAATAGTAACAAACCCTATCAGGTACCACTTTTAAGAACTATGCATTGACTAACTCAGTTCCTCTTACAAATCTATAAGGTGAAAGGAAATCTATCACTGTTTCCATTTAACAGCTGGAGAATGGAAGCACAGAGAGTGTAAGTGACCAGCCCAAGTTTACAGAGTCACTAAATGGGCAGAAACAGGAACTGAGTCTAGGTCTCTGTCAGTAGAAGTTATGCTCCTAACCACTGCATTTTGCCATTTTTGGTGGAGAGCACAGACTATCGTGCTTTCCTGTGTCTCATCTCTAATGCTATTCCTCACATCCTATATTTATGTTGGGTTATTTCTTTCCTTTGAGATTACATGAAGGAATTACTGATTTCTGTACCTCAAGCCTTTTTCTGCTAGTGCCTATAACCCAGGAGTTCACTGTCTGAACATATTTCTGGAATCACACCATGTGGACATGAACTCTGCCTGGTACACACTCATTTATTATTTCATAACGAGGTTTTTCATTTTCACATGGCAATCTCATAAAAAAGACACATTGTTGCAACTAACTTTGTATGCATGCCTGCACAGGAGGGAAAAAAGAAAACTATAAGCAAAAGGCAAAGCTGGTAAAGAGCGAAGTGATTCTGCACGGGGTGAAGTCTTGAAGTGTATTACTTCCAAGATCCCTGCCAGCTCTGGAAGTCTATACACACCATTCCCATAGATAGGGAGAAAAGTACCTTTGATGGCTACTACTCTGAGTTTCTTTTACATTGCTGTCCTCAACTCCTTTGTTTTGCTCTGTATCTTCTGAAGCTGCTACTTTTAAAAACCAGAGTAGCTTTTCATAATTCACCTGAAAATTAAATATCAAAGAGAACATCCTCATTTAATTTACACTTAGAGGAAAGAAGTTACCTGCTAAGATAAAATGTATTTGGAAAATTTTTAGCATTGAAAATTTTAAAAACAGATTTTAAAATATATTGTAGTGATTACTAGTGTTTTTTTTTGACCAACAATTCTTTTTATTTTCCCTTCTGGACATATGGTAAAATGACACTTCCTGGTTGTTTTATGGTTGAGTAGGGTGATGATCAGTTGGGCCAGTGGGTTGAGAGCAGAAGTGACATGCACTACTTCTGGGCTGAGGATTAAACTGCTGACATGAAGCCCGCCCAGATATCTTTTCATCCCCTCTGCCATCACATCCACTAATACTCCAGAGTGTATGCTTCACCAGCCTGGATTTGGAGTTAAGATGATGATGGTACTGAGAAGAGCCTAGGCAGGACTCATTATGAAAAATAAGCTTTCATTCTTTTAAGTCACTGAGACTTTGGGGCTCTTTATTACAACAGCATGACCTAGCCTCTACTTTCTCTCTCTTTCTCTCACAAGTCTCATATATTGATTATATATATTCAGCTCAGTTCAGTTGCTCAGTTGTGTCCAACTCTTTGCAACCCCATGAACTGCAGCACGCCAGGCCTCCCTATCCATCACCAACTGCCGGAGTCCACCCAAACCCATGTCCATTGAGTCAGTGATGCCATCCAACCATCTCATCCTCTGTCATCCCCTTCTCCTCCTGCCCTCAATCTTTCCCAGCATCAGGGTCTTTTCAAATGAGTCAGCTCTT